GTGCTTAAATAGGAGTCCGGTTTTATCCCGCTAGCTTTAAATAATCTCATGACGTTCAAGACTTCTGCTTCCATTAGAGGATTGGTGTTAACTGGCACTAATGTGCCTGTTGGTGGTATTTCTGGATGAGTTGTTCGGGGTGGTCGGTTTAAGAGTCCTTTGAGGTGATTAGTTCATTGTTTTCTTTGTTTCTCCTCTGTGACAACTAACTAACTTCCATTGAGTTCATCTGTGCTTATCTCTTCCCCGATTACCACCTGGTTATCTGATGTGATATTATCTATTACTTTCGTTCATTTCTGCTTCCGTATTCACCGTGCTGTGCAATTGTATTTTGTCTCTCCTCACACTACTCCGCTTTATTCGGGGCATTTTGGACTGAACCCAACTTTCCCTTCTATTGACCATATTTAGATTAGCTTATCTTCTGCTTAACTATTCTTCCCTATCATATAAGCTTTCAGGTGTCCATGGGGAACTATTCCTTGTCTTACTCCTTCCTGAAACGACTAAATAGGTTTCCTCGGTGATCCAACATAATGCTTCCGACTGGGCTCTGTTGGCGACAATGAAGGTGTCCTTTGTAATTTTGTCCTTCAGTTTCTGAGCGTTGAACTTAAATTATGGCCTATCCCTAGTTGTTTTGAATGCTTTCGACTTGACTGAAGGTTTCCTGAACTAAGTAATGGTCTGAGTTCACATCTCCTCTTTTTGACTTTATCTCCACAGAACTGCATCTCCACCTTCTTAAGACTGCGATAAAGTCTGTCTTATTTTTGGTGTATCCATCTGGTGAAACTTGTTTCAATTTATCTATGTTCGTGCGTTCCCATACTATACTTTTAATCACCAAATCATTGGGGGTGCAGAAGTGTGAGGAGACTCCTCCGTCCTCACTCATTTAGTCAAAAGCCCACACGAATAGGGAGTTTTCTTGTTGTGTAGTCTGTTCCAAGTTTGGCACTCGTATAACCGTTATGATTTTGATGTTATTTGGGGTCTTATTCATCACTGTTTGCAGTTGTCTGTAGAATACCTCTTTCTTCTCTTGGTTTGCGTTGTTTGTAGCAGCGTATCATTGAATAGTTCTATTTTCCCTTCCTTTTGATCTGAATCCTGCTGTCATTATCCTGGAGGAGATTAGTTCCTACTGCATTCGAGCTTTGGATGGTCTTGGTGACATTATGATAGCTACTCTTCCGGTATGTTCATGGTTATCGTCTAGGTGACTGCAGTAGGCTACTTACTTTCCAGTTAACAATTTGGAGAATCCACTTTCATTCCATCTGCTCTCACAGATTCCTAGCCTTTCTATACTATATCTTATCTCTTTGGCAGTCTGAGCAGCCCACCCGACCGACCATGAATGTTGTGTGGACAATCCATGTCCCCACCATTTTCGTTTTAATCGAAAGAAGACGTATCGGTTGGCCGACTTCCAAAAGTTCCCCACCAGCCTGTGTCATTCCGTCTCTCCGATTTTAGCGAATAATAAGTATATTTTTCTCATTTTTCCTGCGTGCTGAAGTTTCTTTAGCCGTTGGCTTGATTTCCCGGGCTAAGGTTTCTAGTCCCACATCGAATCATCCCTCTTTTTACTGGATTAGCGCCGACCAGTAAACTAAGTGAGATTATGATTCTGTTTTAGTTTATTTTATTCCTGTAGAGCACTCGGTGGTTTTGCAGAATGTACTGTGTGACACTATGAAGGCAATCCATTGTTCAATCAGACAGCAAGAAATAATATCAAAGCGTCTGTTACAAGACGTATGTCTAGTGGTTCATACTAGGTGTTTTAAAGTGAACCCACCGATTAGTTTGGTAGAAGTATGCAGTAGACGACGTCACTTGATTAAAACTGTGGCAAAAACTAAGACATGTTTCCAACTGTTTGACTTGAATACGACTACGTCATATATAACCTAGCAGTCATTTCGTGAGAAATACAGAGGAATTTTTCGATTTGGAATTCTTTCAAAATCATCACAGTGTATGCGAATGAACTGATTACAAACATCATTACCGATTTAAACTCAGGGATTTTGTTTTCCGCGTAGCATGGTGTCTTTACCAGTTGATGACGCATTTCAGTGGAGAAAAAGGTAGATAAAAAATTTCAAAAACATCGGTGTAGTAGTCGTGCACGTTTTGTGGCGAGGATCGTTTATCAGCTGAAGATATGGTGTTATTTGATTGATGGTATCTAGCTATAGAGTCTAACGTGTGCGTTTCATTCCACTGGGGACTCGTCATCTGATGTACCTGAGTCCCTAGTTAGTGACGATGTTCCCATTGAGATTCTAGTGCTTCACCCACCATCTCAAACACCGAAGCATTATCCATTGAACTGCGAGAGTCATGGAAGCAACCTCATGTGTAACGGGTATCAGTTGTTAGAATTGTTTTGGCTAGTTTGCATTTCCCGTTGATTCATCATGTTGGACTGAAGTGCTTGATCTCTGTTGGCGTGTTGACTCCTAGTAAAGACATTTCGACGATGTCTGAAGAACAACATGGTTTTATTTTTAGTTGGTGCTGGCTAACAGTGGGACCCAGGATTCCCATTTCGTCTTCCTTAGGACTTCTCGGCGGATAACACTTTGGCGTTTGAAAGAAAGGTTTTAGGGTCCAAGTGTCAGTGGGGACATTGTCACTAACTGGGGACTCAGATACATCCAGCTGGAACTAAATGCGAATCCTGAATGCCATCGTTAGTCACCATCAGTGAAAAATAACGTGTTAATCTCCATCCATTGTCGAAGCTTTCTACAAATCGACGGAGATACCTATTATTAGGAGATGAAAAAAGGAAGCCTTTTATTAGTGCATTATGGAAGACTCAGTGAAGTATGTGAAGTTCTGTAGGTCCTCTGATGTTGGCTAGTTCTACTTGCTGATCACTTAGATGCCTTACGAAATGTATGTAGAGGATTTTGCTTGTTAACTGTACTTGAAAGCTATTACGCCAAACACGATCCAATCGAATGTCACTTCGGTGAGTTAGTTAGTCAAATTGAGATATGATGTATAAATGAGAATTGAAACTTAAACTAAGTGACAGTACTGCTTAATGTCCAGTTAGCAACTCCAGTACTCAGAAATATAATTGTGCAGTATCATACAGCCCTGAAACATGTTTATATGTAAGTATCTATAACTAAGTTGAATCGTCAAAAGAGATCTTGATTCTTATTACCTGCTAGTGTAGTCGTAGATTCTTTAACCTACAATATGTGTACTCCACAGTTGTAAGAAACAGTAACGCATTTAGAAAATTAGGTAATAAGCTAACTGGTACTTAATGGAGTTGCCATAGCCTTCCTCTATTGTAGATAACATGATACATTTCTGCTGTTACAACATTTCTTCGAGGAGGATTCTCTTCGAGATGTTTAGCTCCTCTTCCAAATGTACTGGGGCTAAAAATGCTGCGGATTCTGTGGCTTAGTGAACGGATCAAGTTTCGTTTTGTACACTAATTAGTGTACAAGATGAATGTTCGATTAGTTTCCGCATAGATTAAGTGATTCATGTGAATTTGTTAGCATCAATGAAATTACATTCAAGTGTTGGTTTCTAGGGATTTGATTGGTTTCATCATGAGCTGACATTAGTTAGAGAACCATTGGAAAACCTGGGAGTACTGGACAGCTGTTTCCCCCGTCCTAGTTTGGGACTCTTCATCAGTACGCACCCACCGCCAGGGTTCGAATCCAATACCGTCTGATTACAAAGCGTGCTAGCTAGCTTGTATACCATTAAGCCACTGGGACCCGATCAATGGTCCATGAATTCTAACTTCTGCCAATTCACGACATAGCGCGACCGCTAGCCAATGTCTTCGGCGAGTATTTGTCCTCACACCCGACCCGCTGCACCCTTCTGGTCACGACTTTTCACTAGGACCCCAGGTAACTACCTACCTGAATAGGACAAGTCGCCAGTGAGCATCTCATTGATATTCAAGTGTTGGTTTGTAGGGATTTGATTGGTTACAGGATTTCATCATGAGCTGAGCTGAGATGTTATTTGCTTAATCCTCATTTTTCATTATCAAAAATGTACCATCCATGTACCGACAATGGAATCCTAGTTCATTATTTACATCTTTCAAAGGCCTACTCTACTTTTACAAGGAAAATATCGGCTAGATTGGGTCCTAATGGTGACCCCATTGCCACACCATCAGTTTGTCTGTATAGTTCCTTGTTAAATAAAAAGTGAACATTTATTGTGCATTTCCAAAGAAGATATAAGAATGCAGTTATTGATGTTTCGTTTTATGAGTTCTTCATTTACAAAGTTCACAGTTTTCAAAAGTGGTATATTGGTGAATAAGGAAGATACGTTTAATGATATCATGAATTTATTGTCAACATTTAAATCTTTTATCCTTTCAACAAACCCACAGATGTCTTCTATGCTGTTTCAGTAATTCAGTATGTAGAGACTATAAGAGTTTGACCAACTATTTGGCTATGGGATGGTATGGTGGTGATTCGTATGGGTTGAAGAATGAGTTCTAAGAAGGCATCGCATCAGATTGTTAAGTCAAACTGTAGTACTGTGATGAAAATACACATAGACTTAGCTATATATATATATATATTGGATATCATTTAGTGTGAATTATACCATCAATAAAAGACTTCATGAAGTCTGCTTACCGTTTATTTTTTTCAGTCAGTGTAAAAGATGAATAAACAGGATAGTCAACGTTCGAAACATCATGGTCAATATCATGGTGGAATGGATAGATCTAATTGGCCGAAGAGGAGGAATGATCATAACACGAGTGAAGAACAAGATAAAGCAAAGTCTGCTGTATACCAGTCACCCTATCCAGACTTAGTTTGGCATCAGGGATGTGATCAAGCGACAGATAATATGGATTTTATTGCAACCTGGTCAACAGATCATCAAATAAACATTATGTCAAGACTGAAATCTTTAATTATTTGGCCAATAACACAGATGCACTTGGTCCTCGTATTGAAGTGATGAATAATCAGGCTAAATTTTGTCTAGCACATCTTGTTCAAGAAGTTTTCAACTACAAGGTTTGTTAAAGCATTGATGTATTTGAAATTTCAGTGTTCGAATAGTTATTGATTATCTAGTGGCCTGTAATATAGAATGGAAGGCATGCTGGTAGTGGTGTCTTATGGTTTCGTTTATTGATGATGACGAATGTGGTAGGAGTATGTTGATGGTATCATAGGAATTTCATTAATTATTAGCACACAAATAGAATAGGCTTCGGTTTGTGATGGATGCACTTCCACATGAGACATCTAGGTGTATGTGTATGTGTGTAGATTGTAACCGTCGAAGCATTTAGAGTAATATGAATTCAGGATCAAGTTAATTTACTGTATATGAAATTCTTTTAGTTTATGAGTCTGTGTTCATTATAATCGGTAATTTCTATCTCCATTCAGAAATGAAATCAAATAAATAATATGAGTATGCCATGTGAGATTGTAAAGCGAAATGAAAATGCCGATGATTCCCAAACTAGGATGAAACAGCTGTCCAGTCCTCCAGTGGTGGTTTTCGGTGGTTCTGTAACTGATATCAATCCCTGGTCAAACTCGTGTAAACAAATCTAATCCTTACAAACCAACTCTCGAAAATTAATCTGATGTTCACTAGTGATTTGCGGAGTTTCCCGGAGTTCTAGTGAGAAGTCGTGACCAGTGTGAGGATGGATTTCTCTCTGATGACATTGCTTGGTGGTCGCACTAAATCACGAATCGGTAGAAGGTAGAATTCATGGATTGGTCATTAAGGAGTCGGGTCCCAGTTTATGAAAGGTATACGGGTTTGCCTTGCAACCTGAAGGTCCCGGGTTCGAACCTCGGTGGTGAGTGCGTACTGTGATGATTCCCAAACTAGGATGATACAGCCGTTCAGTCCTCCAGTGGTGGTTTTCAATGCTTCTCAAACTCGTAAAAACAAAACAAATCCTTACAATTCAACTCTAGAAAATAAATAGTCATTTTCTCACACTTATTACGTCATCCCGACTTCTGCCTCATTTTTTTAATTTCCACTTAGTCATCCCTGCTAGATTACAGCTCACATTATGTTATACACTTTCGAGGGCAAATTTGACCAGTATTTGATTGGTCTTATGATTTCCTTGTTAAATACAATTACGATTGTACGTAGTTTATGGAAAATAAATCGTCGAAAAGGGAAAACTTTCTTATCTGTTTTCGTCTTTTTCAAATGAAAATAAGATGAAGAGTTGCACTTGAGTATATGTTAGGAAGGCATTATGTTTCGACACTAGGTGATCTCATTTTGTGATACTAATAAAGACAAAAGGATGGTTACTTGTTTGATTAAGCATCTGTTTCTGCGCAGTTTAAATAGAGAGGTCACAGAGATAAAGCAAAACATTATTCATTACTGAGTAACTGTTGTCTAGAATACCTTGAGAATTCAACCAATGTCAATTTTATTATTATTATGTTATTTATGAATGGGAAGTGAGAAACCCACAACTTAAAAGTCCCTAATAGTCTAAGTAGACGGTGAGGAGTGAGATCGACATTAACAAACCGGTGTTCCACTCCCAGTCAGCACACACCTTAACCTCCCCTAAATGGTTGTAAGCTTGACGAAGAGGGAAGGTTGAGCGTATGAGGTTAGCAACCACAACCTGTAAAAATAAGCACTAAAACTTCAAGGCTCAAGCTTGAGGCCTTATTTTTCATTCGGAAAGCAAAAGAATGAAATAATAGGTAATAGTTACATAAACAATAAGGCGTTCAGCGAAGAGTTACTTTTTTTGACCGTTTCATTCTCAATCTGTACAATATATGTGCGTCGGTGGCACAGTGGTTAGGACTCTCGCCGACCATGCACATGGTCCGGGGTTCGAGCCCACGCCGACACACACCTGATATCTATGGTTGGCCTGCGAATTTTGGGCTACCGATATCCACGCTGAAAATTCCACACTTGTACCATACGATGTGGAATCAAGCTGTAACCAAAAAAATATATACATTATAAATTGCCTTAGCAACAAAGGGAATATTTCCAAGGATATGTCATTAGAATATAAATTTTAGATAACAAATTAAGTAGTGCAGAAAGCGTTAATCGGGTAGAAACTAGAATAAAGTTATGAGAACTGTAAGTTTTAAATGAGAAATTTCGTTAATGTGTTGGAAATTAAAATGAGATAAAATAAGCTAGTTGAGTGACGTTATCTAATTGACGGGGTTGAGTAGAGCTGAACTAAAATTAAGATTGAACAAAAGTTAACACTGGCCTATTTTTTCTCTAGACGAGACTGTATTTATGTATGCATGTTTGTGTGTGTGTGGCCGAGAGAACAATAGAAACCGACCAGTTAACGTCGGTTAAATTAGCAGAGCATAGAAATGTGGCCTAGTGCTCTGAACAAGCATAAATCAGGTTTCAAAAACATTTGATAGCGATCGCTTCAGCAACTCCTTTTTGAAGTCTCCAAATTTTATTAAGAAGTTTAATAGAACCTCCACCGTGTAAGTTCTCAAATTGTTATTTTAGCTTTGTTCAATCGATTTCATGAAGAGTAATATGTGTGTGATGTGATGCGTGTTTATTATCTTTGATTAACTGGGAATTGTTTGTAAACTAACAAAAAACACTATGAGCTTTTGGTAAATCCAAGCAACTGATGTTCATAAAGATGGCTCTTTTGCTAGATCCCAACATACATGATATTGATGAATCTTTTCGAATCCTGTGAATTTTAAGGCGTCAGCTGAGACTATACATACACATGGTATTGAAGTTGAGGTAGAAATTTTATTAATACAGTCAGGGTTTCCTGTAATAATCTAATTCAGTGGTTAGTGACTAGCAGTTGAATCAAAGATACGTGATTCGTCTCAGTTAGATCTCATTATCTGAAAACGACAGCATTCCAGCGAATAATGATGTTCTGACAGGGACTCGAATCCAACACCTGTCGTTTGAAACAACAAAGCTTTATCCCTTAACGTACCATTGATGATTGTTATTGATAAATGCATAAAATTGTTATAGAAGTTCGTGTGTAGATATTCTTGTATGTATATATGTGTGTGAATATGTTGATAAATATCTTCAGTAGCTCTGAATATTATCACATTAATTCACTGTTATTCGGCGCGTGCTACTGATAAGACTGAAAAGTAGTATATGAAGAGAAGTTCATCGGAATAAAGAAAATCAAACAGCAAGGAGATAGATTTGATATCAAAGAGATCAAACGACTCAGTGTTGCACAGATACTTGGGAGACGTAGTAGAACTAAGGATAAAGACAGTATGAAGGTGAAAAGTACCACAACACGGAAGATCTGTGCAAATGGTACGTTGAAGATAAAGTGTATTTAATTTGGGTTAATAGAGATACCGTACACTTCAATTAGATCCTTTGTCTTATCAATAGCACACGTCATGGTTATACATTCTGATTATGACATCATTTTCAAGATTTTAAATTTTAATGACGAAGGGAATTCAGTAAGAGAACCAGTGGAAATCAGCGGGGAGGACTAGACTACTGTTTCGTCTTAGTTCCAGACTCTTCAATGATACGCATCCATAACCACATCGGTGGTCGGCCCGTTAAGCATTTAGCCGCTTAGGTAAAATCCAATGACCCATGAACTCTAACTTCTACTAATTTGCGATATATATAAAACTCTACTGCTAGCCAACGTCATTGGTGAACATTTATGCTTATACCCAACCTAGTGAACCCCATTGGGGGTCTTCTCAACTCTCCATTATAGCTTCGTCTCTCACTCAGTCAATATTGTGCATTGGATTAATTTCCAAATGTTTGTTTTCAGAGAGAGAGAGAGAGCAGCCGATTGATTTTAAATGACATCATGAATAATTGATGTTAGTTAGAGAAATAGCTGCCTGGTAATCGTTCGTGGTGGTTCTCCAACTGATGTGGAATCCCTCTGCAAATCAACATTTGAAAATTAAATTTTTCACTCGATGTCATACAACATATATTTATATATATATGTATATAGTCATATGAGCTTCAACAGTTTGTTGTACATATTCACAACTGGATTCATTGAAACATAATCTTGTATATTGTATAAATAATGGTGAATCTTACTTGAAATATTTATATATGACACTGTTGATTTAATTTGGACTACACTTCATTGTGTGACACGCGAATGTTTTCTTTTTTTCTCTTTTTGTACAGAACCATCTGGATAACTATCCTGTGAAAATGACCCGTAAAAGTCATCACCTTAGTAATCCATATGAAGATATTGGCATTGGAATATTTATGAACCGGTAAATGTCAATTTCGTTTTTCGTGATAAATGACAGATGAGAGAGAGAGAGACGGTTGTTTGATCTTATGCTGACTACTTATTTCGATCGATATTGATATTCTCTAGGTGTTTTCTAAATGAGTAAAATGTCTAACTCAGGTTAAAGTAAGAACACAGAATTCTGGGGCGATTAAATAGTATGTTTTTGACACAAGAATAGAGTGTATTATCCTATTTTCTGAGATATTTTTTTGTATATTTGATTTGTCACAGAGTGTAATCGAATATATGTTGATTTAGTTGTATGCTCTAAGCTGGGATGGCTTAACCGTTAAAGTACCCCGGAAGGATAAGCTATCACTGTTGGCCTCATCAATGTGTATTTATCAATTCACCTACTCGTGTGGAGCCAGGTATGTCGGCCGTACCCAGCGTTCGCTTTCCAAGCGTATCACTTACCAGCATGGTTTTACAAAGCAGAAAAATGATGTCCCCGCAGCTCCATCTTAGAACATCTGATAGAATCCGGACACCAAGCTGCACCCCAAACAAACTTCAAAGTAGTCTACAGAGTAAGAAGTAGTCTTCCAAAAGGTGTACGAATCAGACTTCTTCAAACTGCAGAAGCAATGGCGATTCACTTGCTAAGCCCTGAACTCTGCATACAGAAGCAGTTCGTTCAATCACTACACTTACAATAGACTTAATCTATCTTATTACCTGAAAAGTAAATTCTACCTAATCTTTTTTGTTTTTCTCTTTTTTCTGTCCCCTCATTGGTGTGATTCTGTCTTTTCAATTGTAATATTTTGCATTTTCAACTTTCTTGTTCTCTACCTTCACCCGATTTAATTTCTACACCTCACTACCACTTTAATTGACCTGACCAACGCTCAATTTCTAGTCATTTATGCTACATCATCCAACTTAATTGCTCAATTTCAGTTCTAATTTAAATGGCATTATTCTCTACCCCACTTCTACTTAGTCTCTACCTGTAATTACCTCTATTGCTACCCTGACCTAAGTTAAAACATTTTGGTCAACTATATTACGTCATCTAACTTACTAACTCAATCTTACTTTAGTTGCTGTCCAATTAACCTTGTTTCTATATTAGGTCATTCTTTTATTACCTGATCAGTTATCTAATTTTGAAAAACCTCATGTACACACACACACACAAATAATTATATATAAATGCGATTGTACAGCTATGTGAATGAATTTGCCGAAAAGAGTCTCTTCGCTGAACGCCTTCTCTTTTTCATATGACTAAATGGGGATTTCCAAACTACTCAAACGTTAAAGTACTCATCATGCTTTGAGACATCGTGTTTAGCGTTATTTTCACATAAGACGTTCATATGGGAAAATCAAAGTTATGGAATTACGTCATCCATCTCGTAAGATAACGTAAGAACACTAACTTTTATTCACTTGTAGTAAAAAAATGTTCTCCATTATTTCGAAGTTCGACTGGCGTCTAAATGATGTTCCAGGATGGACCTCGTTGCCGTTGTTTATTTACATCAACTTGGTCATACAACAGTTGCCTCTTTAACTTTATTGCAGACATGTTTTTGCTAATGTTTAGTATTTTGGTGGTTTAATGCGTTACTTTCAAGGAGTTGTACGCATTATGCACTTCCGTCCCTTGGATTCCCAGTGGAACAAATGGCTTCAGCAGCTCATTTCTATTTTACTCTGATCTCTGCAGTCCTTTTTAACTGGCTCCATGATTGTCCATAAACTTTCATTCCCTCAAACCATCTCCTCTGTGCCGCTTACAAACCCATGTCAAACTCATCGTTTTCTGTTTGTGTTCTGCTGTCGAGAGCCTGGCGTGTGATGCTTATCATCGAAACTTGGTAAAACCACAAGTAAATCAAATGGTATTTGTCAGTTGCACACAGATGATGTGTGGTTGTGTGTCATTATGTGGAAATCGGTTGCCACATATCATATCTCTCTGAAAAATGTTTCATAGTTTTCTGTCCTTTGGAGTAGCCACATAAACAGATATGCTTTTTTGTGAGTATCCTCCTTTATTTATCAAGGGAGGAGGGGTGTGTGAATTTCTGATCGTCTCAGTTCTGTGTCTTTCTGTAAATAACCGTGATATGTGGGATGGTATTTACTTCACCAAATATTGTCTGTTTTACGTCAAAGTAACTCTGTGTGTGTGTGTGTTGAGGGACAGTTCCCTAGTTAAGTAAGTCAATTTACTTCAGGCGAAATATTAATATCCACTGTCACATATTAACTCCAGATTTGATGGAGTTATTGTTCGAGTGGAATATATTTCGCTTGAGAGAGAATGTCATTGTTTCAAGCAGATAGGTATACAGTACATCATGCCATCACAACAACAGTATTCCGCTAATTTTACTATAGAGTTAGCGATATTGGTGATTTTATGACTGAACGGAACTGACACGTTATCAGTTTGTTATAACTAAACTGAATAAATCCGTTGCTACTTTGTTATGTCTGCGCCTGTTAATTACTATAACGGTAATGGACTCAACTGGTACGCCTAATATGCCTATTTGTCCGTTGTAGCCTACGTCTCACTGAGCCACGCAAATATCAAAAGACCCAAGACTGGTCTGTGACTGTAAGATTATTGTATTATACTATACATCCATCAGGAAACAAAACATCACATTAATATATTTAATTTATCACAATACATTTGGCTCACAACCGTGAGAATGGACTGTGCTTAATGGCTGGAAATTTCTATTCTGATAGTTTGGTGATCCTATATAGACCAAGGTGAGACAAAATAAGATGAATTGATCACACACACTAAATCACAATATGCATGAGAATTGATAGATTAACATAATAACTCCATTGCAAAATAAATCACATGATTCATGAGAAAGGATGTGATATGCTATTTTATGCTGGGTCCTATCATGTAATTAAATTCCTAATACTTTCCATTATCGATATTTTATATTTCACATTGAATTCAAAAATGAAGATTTTGACGAAACGATGGATTAGATTGTTATAGTGTTTATGTGGATAAGTTTTGGATTATAGAAAAAAGACGTTACAGCATGACTATGACCCCTACAATACTTGTGTGTATAAAACTTTCTCTTCAAAGTGAAAATCAGTTGAAATGAATGGATAGGCAAATAGGGCAGTAGAGTTGATAGATTTCTTAAGCAAAATTAGAGTCACCTGTTAAGAAAAGGGTGGAAACGTGATGAGGCGACATGATGCTAAACTTTAAGTCTGTAATAATCTTTACAATTTGCAGTACAGTAGAAATCCAGTCTTATTTGGAATAAGTCGACACAATGTGCTGTTGTAGAGAATTCCATTGGTTCATGATTCGATTCAGGAAACGAACTTCCAGATGTACACGATTCGATTGTGGTCTATGAATTTTAGATTGGTCACCTCGCAAGTGGTTGGTCTCGAAGGGCGGGGGGAAACAGACAGCATAAATTAGTATCCAAATCTTTAGGTAAAATACGGAATGCTAAGATGAGGTCAGTTCTCAGCTGCCAATATGAAAGTGGGAATAAATCCAGTTGATCGGATCTCTTCTCACATGAGAAGTTTAATAATCTCTTGGTTATTTAAATTCCCACTCTTCCTACCCTTTCTAGTATGTCTGCTTCATATATGAAACGTGGGCTGACTCCCTGGATCCCATATTCGAAATGAAGTCTGACGCATGATGGAGTCTGTAATATTTTAAAACTTTTCGCAGCCAATGCTCTACAGTCAACTAAGGCTAATTAGGTTATGGTTTGAGACCACATTCCTAAATTCTTACTCTCTCGTCATAGATGAATGAAACTCATTATTTGTATGAATATTTTATGTTAATTTCTTAAGACAAACGATTATACTATTCAATCAATAGATCTGGATATTTTTGCAAAGCAAGACGATCACTATCACTGCCGGTCTATTACCATCATCTATATCTGCCCAACTTTCTTGGGCTAAACGAAGATTTGTCAAACATGAATGAGCTGCCCTATAACCATGCTGTTTCTCTGATAAATTATATTACTCTCAACTTGTTGGACAACAGCGTCAAGTATAATTCTTTCCGGCAGTCTTACGACAATGCTATCTAGACCAACGGGACGGTAATTCTTAACTAAATGTCTGACTCCTTTTGAACACCGGACTGATGATGCCATCATTCCAGTCTTTTGAAGACAGACTGGGTCAGTAACATGTTTAGTGGCACCGAGAGCAGTTCGGTTGTGGTTTCAACCAGTGCACATGCTTTTCGTGGATGGCCTCTAGACTCACTATGATTGACCTTTTTAGGAAATTCCAGGATGGATTCTTTCTTAATATGAAGAGTATTCAGTCATAGATTAGATTCCAGAAAATCTAATATAGATGCATTGCCATTTTCAAAGAACACTTAGCTCAAGTAATTCGATGGAGTCTCAGCCTTTGTGAGATTTTCATCAACCAAATCTATCGAGCCTGCATAAACTAGAAAAATAGGGATAGCGTCAGTTTTTGTAGTTTATCTCATCACATACTCGAAGAGTCTTTTAGGATAACCCTGCAAGTTCATAACTACCTGTGAATCATAGGCCTTCCTGGACTCATAAATCAAGGTCTTGCATTGATTTCTGGTTTCAAAGCCTTTTAGTCGCTGCTTACCAGAGAGGAAAAGGTTTTGTAACCTTTTCGTCGGCCAAAGTGGTGTCAAAGCCCATCTACTTTTCCACAGAGGAATGGCTTGTTGCTTTGCTAGGTGAATAATCACTCCAAAATGTATCTTTGAATTTATTCCATGCATCACTGATTGACAAGTTAGTACTGATTGACAAGTTAGTACTGATTGACTAGTTCACAGTTGAAACACTTTTCAGAAGTTATAATATCCATATGTCAAGTGTTAAAGCAAGCCTGAGGTTGAACCCGAACTAAATCACAATTCTTGATGTTTGAGGACTACACCCATTGACCACTGTTAACCAGTGAGAAGTGAATTGTTAGACTACTTGTGTCTTCTGCGTCATGCGCTTTCACCATGTCCAGCAGGGGATGGTCTTGGATAGGACCTAAGAGTGTGTTATCTAAGAAATGACAAACAAGAACTACTCAGTATATATGGAGTGCATCAAAGTCACCTAGAATGAGACAGTTGTTAAATCTATTCCATTGCTTAATGTCGTCATACTGACAATTCGAACTTTGATATATCACTCCATTAAGAAAGTCACGGTCAGTAGAGCTAATTTCATAAGTGCTCATTTTGCATGTTCCACCTTCATGAGCTTTGGATCCTCACTGATTCTGTCGCTACAAAGACAGCAAAGCTCTAAGAGCCCAGATGGTCTCGTCTAAATCACAGACAAGTCATGTTTCAGTTATAACCACTATGGCTGGGTTTAGTTTATTTAGTGCCGAGACTTTCTGTATTGGTTGGTGTGTTACCTGTGAAGGCCTTATACAAGTTTCAGATTATCTGCACAGGTGTTGGAAGCATTCATTTCTAGGACCTGAATGTTTGGAAGCCCACAGGTTTCCAGTGGGTTGTCCCGATTTTGCATCTAGCTTCTTGTTGAGACAGCACTTCTTTCCTCTTCTTTGCGTTCTTCAGAGACTAGCCTGGGATACTCTGGTACCACTGAGTTTGTATATTGGCTAGCAACTGATTTTGTTGACTAGATGAGCCTGGTACCGCTTTAAGTAGTTTATGCTCCTTAGATGTGTTACCAGCGGCCCTTTTCCCTATCTTAACCAATTTCAGTTTGTTTGTGCCAGAGGTTTTCCGTGAGAATTTTCCGAATAAGATCACTAAGTCTAAATTGTGGGAATGCGTTCGAGACCATCTGTCGTCTAACATGCAGGATGACTACCCACTCTGTCCAGAGCAGAATGAAAACTCCGGGACACTGCTGTAAGTATGTGCAGACATTACTTCCGTGCATTTCCTCAGTCATTTAGAATGCTTAACATTCCCTGAATCTGGGGTACTGGAACCCCTGGAAGGGTGAACTTCATAGTGATACTGCTAATTTCATCAACAGAAGTGTAGTCTACATTTTCCATGTGAATTAAATTGTTCTTGAGGGGTTGCATGGCTTTGGATATCACTGATTAGCGTGGACTTTGATGGACAAACGCCTTCACATTGAACGCGGTGTATACCTGTAACACCGCTTATATATGTTATCATGTTTAATCCAGTACACCTCTTGTGGTCACCACATGCGGTAGTCATCATACTACATTCTTTCTTCTACAGGAAATAAACATGCAAGTCTAACGACATAGGAAAAGTTATATACATAAAGTGGCATCATAGGAAAGGTTGTTGAATGACGAGAAAAATGCAGGAGAAACGAAACATAGCATTTAGCGTCTTGTATGTATTTTATAGTCAGTCAGATTCCTTACATATAAGCAAATCTGTAATCCGGTCACTTGTGTTTTCATAAGAAGCAGACCGTCTTTCGGTATATAATGTCACGGTGAAACACTGACTTCAGTGAATTTAACTTGTGTTGCTAATGTTTTATACTCCATGGTCTAGTTAGAGATTCTGAAGAGGTTTTCAGTCAATAATTTGAGTTGTAGTATGAAGAATAGTTAATCTGCGATATTAACTGTTAGTGTATCACTGCTTCTTTGTTGAATAGACAGAAATTAGGCTACTTAATCGCTGAAGATATAGTCCGATTATATCACAGAATTAAAATCACTGGCGAAAATGTTTGTAGCTTGCTTTTGACTTCTAATACTAAGGAGTAATACGGTGTTAGGAATGCACTTTTTAATCTACCTAGATGTAGATGTACTGACTTGCTTCATTCTGCGGTTACTCAACTTTCGATTTTCTCTTATTATATTTTTGTTCAATTTTTGTGTGCAGGTGTGTGTGGCACATTTCTTAGTGCCTATATACTGTAGTAGCGAGTTTATGTCTGTACAGACAAAATCACTATAAATCCTGTTACATACCAAAATACGGTAGGTATATTCACGTTGATATTGTGAATTTCCCATAATAAGTGTCCATTTCACTCAGTAGAATAAATGAAGCGATGAGACAACTGAAATTTACTAATTTTTTCTAGTCATTGTGAAGTGTACTTGTTAATGTGATGTTTATATTTCCGATTGGATTTTAGTGCTGCTATGGTAATGGCTAATATCGATTCTTTACTTGATGGAATGTTCACAAAGGCTGCAGCGGATGATGTAAGTGTTCAGTTCACTATTATTATTATTATTATTATTCAGACTTTTGTTTAGTACTGAAATCTAAGTTTTCAGTATTACTAATTTGAGACTGGTGCATTGTTATTTCAGTCATAGAATATTCCCCAACGACACATGTGACCCGGACTCGATTCTTGGCTGCCGAACACTTAAAAGCTTGCGTAGCTGGTAGTAGTAAGCCCTATAAATAGGGAAGGGTGAACACGAGACAAGTAGCCCCATCCCATAAAGTCTCATCACCACCGTTACTGTAAATTCAAAGCTCAAGCTTGAAGCCCTATGTTCCACTCAGTACCCAAAAGAATTCATAAAAGAAAAGTTGAAGCAATCAGTGAAATATGAATGTGTAATTTCCAGTTGTTCTTTAATGTTATGAATCATTCAGGAGACTAGGATAACAAGGAATTAGGAAGCTGTTTATTCAGCGTTTTTTGGTCTACATTCTCACTTGTATAGAAATAATCTGATGTAATGGTCAAACCAATGTATTATAACCGTTAATGACAGTGATCTCGTAGCTGTTCAGGGTAAAAATCGGTTTTCATGCTAGGATTTCCCTCAGATGTTCAGTGTTTAAAAAAACCATGTTCTTTGTATTTGAGGAATAACTGTTCATAAAGTTTGTTCAAGGTACAATTTAACAGATTACCATATATTTTGTTAGCTTTATTTTTTGATTGGTTGGAGGATTTCATCATGAGCTGACATCAGTTAGAGAACCACTGGAAAACCGCTTGGGAGTACTGGACACCTTTTTTGTCCCAGTTTGGGATTCTTCATGAATTGACAGATGTTAGAATTCATGAACTGGTCACTGGATGAGGCCCCAGTGAGTGGCATAATGGTCTACCAGCTAACTAGCTCTCCTTGTAACCAGAATGTCCTGGATTCGAACCCTATCGGTGGTGTGGGTGAGTAGGTTAACGAAACAGCTGTTCAGTACTCCCAGGTGATTTTCCAATGGTTCTCTAACTGATATCAGCTCATGTGATGAGTTCCTCCAACCAATCAAACAAAATCCCTACAAAATCTATACTTTGATAACTTTATTTTTATTGAATGTAATGCATTGATCACTGAGTCCAAGGCGGATTTCTGCGTTTCTGATCATTATATATGACAGATTGGGTTGTGAAAGTCTTTTGTGAGAACAGAAACTAACTTATGGTTCACGGAATAACCGTTGACATTATATGGTGAATGGGCGGCAACACGAATAGAAATGGAAACTATGTGAAATGCATGAATACCAGAATTAATATTTAGACAGGCTTTTATCAGTGATTCGATAAAACCATCGGTTGAAGAATTTTTATTCACTCATTCCAATGGTTAGCTAACATTGTAGTAGCAGAACATTTTGGAAACAGAAATATACTACTTTAGAATATATAAGTAAGCTACGTATGTTTCAAAATTGGACTATCCGCAAAACATCCGTTCTACCATACAGCAATAGCTGTGCTGTTTATGAGTATTCGAATACCACTCAGTTTTTCAATTCATATATGCCTACTGATGAGAAATGAAGGCGAAGTAAACAGTTTCTATGAGATATTACTCTTTACTCTGTATTTTTTTGTGAACAGGATATTTTATATTTTGCGGATATTTGTGCGGGACCCGGTGGATTTTCAGAATATATTTTATGGCGAAGATGTAATTCTTCACTGAATGTGTCCAGTAATTGTCGAAGTTGGAGTAAACTGACTAAAAGCCAACACTATCTGCTAAAGGATTTGGTATGACTTTGTCTGGATCTTATGACTTCCAAGAATATAATTTTCATGCTGGTCCCATAGAAGCTTTTATGCCGCATTATGGTGTAATAGGTGACGGTGATATCACGAAATTGCCTAATTTGGATTCATTCGCCTCTTTAATTAGTCGTAGTACAAATGGCATTGGTGTTCATGTGGTTTTAGGAGATGGGGTGAGTTGAATAACAGATAATTACTTGTCACTAATAATAATAATAATAATAATAATTTCTATTACATCGTTCATAGTCATTTCTTTCAATTATAAGGGGGTTAGATGAGACTGTTTATTATGCTTGATATTAACAAAGATATGTCCACACCGATTTTCACCATTGGTAGTATACACTGTCAGGTGTTCGAATGTGGAGACCTCACGACACAACGGTTCCACTCGTATACCGTCATGTTCACTATATTATTATTATTGTTCCCTTGGGTTCCCAGTGAAACATACGGCTTCAACTGCACGCACGTCTCCATTTGCTTCTGTCTTCCTTCTGCTGTACTTTTCACCTGCATCCATCTTAGTCCATACTGACTATTTCAACTCCTCTTCACACGATCTCCTCCATGTCACTCTTGCACTGACGTCCCACTCGCCGCTTCCCTTTCGGCCTGGTTCCACTCGAGAAATGGTCTGACGTGCACACGATGTCACCAACCGGCCTCCTCATCCGCGAGTGTCCAATCCATCTCCACTTTCTCCTGCATATTTCTTGGTTGGCGATTGGTTCTCGTTTTGTTTGTTTGTTCCCAGCCATAGTTTCTTGTTGGTGATTGTTTCCGACCCGGTCATCTGATCTTCAGTATAGATCCAGCGAAGACAGACAGTTGTTGATTGATAAAGGTCTGCAACAGGCTGTTGGAAATATTCTTTGTGACCCGCCCACCAAGTTTCTGATCCGTATAGAAGAACTGACTGACTTGACGTGTTTGTATTGAAAATCCGCCGAATTTTGTTGTTGATGCTGGCTGAGTGACGAAGATTTCGGGATTGGTTTCAGCTGGTTGATGAATGTGTTTCTCGCCTTCCTGATTCTCGCTCGATTTGACATCCTCGTCCGTTCCGACTGCGTGTAGTTGAGACAATGCTCCCTAGATAAGTGAGTGAATGAAGTAGCCTTTTTCAAATCCCTCCCGTTGATGGTGATTGGCGCTGGATGTTGATGTTGTTGTTGTAGTTGGTTGGTTATTTTCATAACCTCCGTCTTGTCTATGTTCACTTGGAGTCCTGTCTTCGCCGGCTGCTTCTTCGACCAGTTTGTCGGTTTTCGCTTGTAAGTTCACTGTATCAATCAATATATTCTTTTGGTATTTATAAAGGCAAGTGACTGCCAAACGTGTAAGGTTTAAAAATATATCAACCTGTATTCATTCAAGTAAAATGATGAATATGATCGGTGATCATTCATCGAAGTGTTGTGTTGTAATAGCTTGAATATTCTCAAATGATGTTATGTTAGAAAATTTTCCGACTCTTTGTAAAGTAAGTAGGAAGGAGATGATTACAATGAACATGTAGAGATTAATTCACATACTGCTTCTTATTTGAAATATTACACATCAATAAGATTATCCATTTTCTGTGTACAGACAAGTTCGATTCCCTGACTACTTTGTCTTGACGTGTAGAGTTCTGCGTGGTGTGTATTATGCTGTACATCAGTATTGAGAATGTTTAAAATAGATTAGGAATATCAGCTACATCAATCATCGACTTATTTGTGTTGTCATTATTTGTTGCGTACTTTTCTATGCTTCACTTTATGGAAAGCTGCTGCAGTTGTATACAAAACTTTCTAATTTAAAAAAGGAGAAGTTGAAATCGTTTCGAGGAATTAAGGAAATTCTGTTGTTTTTTTCAGTTATCCGGAACAAATCATTTGTGTATCAAAATATGATTGACACTTACTATGTGAAGACTGATGACACTTATCAGTTACCCAAGTTGAAATAGACAGAGTTGCAATCTGACCTAACAGTCATTGATTGCAAGTTGTGTGCTCTCGTTATTTGATTCATATCTCTTCTTGACTTCACCAAGTCATTGTTGATTGTTCCTGCTATACTATTTCTTAAAATTATAATATAAACTTAATATGAAAGAAGCAACCTCCTTCACCTACCTACATTCGAAGCATCGTTTCAACTACAGGAGGAACTGACGAAGATATCAAAGCCAGAATCGGAACAGCAAGACAAGCTTTCATTACTCTTAAGTCTGTGTGGAGGTCAGCAGCACTCTGCATGAAAATGAGAATAAGATACGGATTTTCAACTTCTATGTGAAGTCAGTCAGTGCTACTATACGGATCAGAGACTTGGTCAGCGCGTCATAAAGAGCGCCTCAAACAAACTACTGACCTTCATCAACAGCTGTCTCCGCTCAATACTTAAGATCAGATGGCCGGCCAGAAAAGATCAGCAACAGGGATCTCTGTCAGTGAGCGAACCAACCAGGAACCGATTGTGAAACAGATAGGCAGGAAGAAATGGAGGTGAATTGGCCATACTCTGAGGAAACCATCAGGTGACATCACATGCCAACCCATTGCTCGAGTGGAACCCGGTTGATTAGGAAGTGGCGAGTTGCTTTTGAGTGCGAGGGTGACATGGAAGAGGTCATGCGAAGAGGAGGTGAAAGCATGTGGGCAGACGTGGAGCCAGATGAAAACGTCTACGGAGAACCGGATGCAGTGGAGACATGCGTCTGAAACCCTATGTTCCTAAAGGCGACAATAATAATAATGATATTCTCTGAATCGCTTAAAAAAGCAATTTAGTAAGGATTATGATTAATTAATTAATTGTGTAAACGAGGCAATTAGAGTTTATCAACAACAATTTTTGTGTGTTGGTGGGTCAATGATAGGATGCTCATCAGTGACACATGTAATCTGTGTTTAATTTTCACGCTACTCACTCTTGAGTTTCGTCTTATTTACCAGTCGATAGTAGTCCAGAAATGAAAAAGTGATTGGTTGTGTGAGGGACTAGCAACCCCACTTCATAACAACAATACTACCAATATTGAAACCTTAAACCTTGAAGTTCCATGTGCCACTCGAGACTCAGTGAATGAAAAAGTGGCAGTATTGTAAAGTAGAAAAACATATTTTTAGTCCATTCAGTCACTGAATGAAATAACCATTGTATTACAGAACTCTGAGAATTGTAAATCAGGATCTATCTCAACGACCCATCAATTTAAGATATCAAACTGTTATGTACTCGTCGAGTAGTTAATAGTCCTGATGCGGAAAGAGGGAAATCAGAAGACCACCTCGTTCACGATGATACTTGTATTTTCCATACAAGGAAAATAAATGTCACACTAGTATGTGAGTGAACGGGTACGTAGAGTACGAAAACTGTGTGAACAAGAATGATAAAGCAAGAGTATATGTGAAAATGGCTAATACACATGAACCAATAAGATAACGTCTTACCATGATTGGTTGTAATGTCATGTGATAACAAGGTCATACATTGTTTATTTAGTTAGTGGACAGACAAAAGCATAATGTCAGTTATAATGGAATATCGATCCATATACACATAGCAAAATATAACAGACTATCAAAACAAAACACACATCATGTGGATACATATCAAAAACTTCACAATATCACGTAGATTGCATACTACTATTTACTCAGTAGTAGTTGTACAGTCTGTACATAATCATCAAATTCTCATCTTTGGTATATATCTAATTTTAGAAGAATAGAAATTCGTCTTATTCCTGATTGTTCCGTTCATTCCAGTATACTGTTTGTCGTTGAGTACTGCTGTGCTTCTTTTGTTTTCAAGAGTTGATTTTTAAGGATTAGATTTGTTTTTCGTGTTTGACCACATTCAATATCAGCTAGAGAACTATTGAAAATCACCACTGGAGGACCGGACAGCTGTTTCATCCTAGTTTGGGAATCATCGGCGGTACGCACCCACTGCCAGGGGTCGAACCCGGGACCTTCCGGCTACAAGACAAGCTCGTATACCATTCAACCGCTGGGACCCAGTTCAATGGCCCATGAATTCTAACTTCTACCAATTCGGGATTTCAGCGTGACCACCAAAAATGTCACCAGCGGGAAATCCATCCTCACATCTCGACTAGATGCTCCTCACTGATCACGACTCCTCAGTAGAACTCTTAATGGAGAGGAGTTTCTCCGGAATAACGGAGAGGTTTGGGAGTTATTTTTGGAATTATTTTTGTTCATTGATTCAGAAAACCACCTAAATCTGCCTAAAAAGATTTTTTCTGTGAACGTATGGTGTATTAGGACGTAGAGATTTTCATTCCTAATGATTGTCTCATCGGAGTGCACTAGCTAACACTTTATAGAGTTTTCTTGGGTTTGTGAGAACATATCTTTCAGTCTACTGATTGACGATGCAATATTCATGTGTTGTAGTTACCAGAGTTCACTTGCTTATCAATGGTCACTATTTCAGAACACTCTAGTTCACTTACTTATAAACTACTGGTGTGATACGTCTTAACGACAATTTCGTCGATTAACTTACTGTATAATTACTGTTTGTGTTTATCAATTTTGTCTTCTATGTAAACTAAATCTGTGTCACAGTTTGTGTTTCAGTCATTTTTAACATGAATGCAGAAAAAATCCAATTCATTTTTTAAGTGGAAAGGTGTTTGTAGTTATCGGATCACTTTGGCTTCAGATAACATGTATACACTGGAAAACTACTGAACAACTGAAAGTAACAACCTCTTTCATGTTGCTAGACAGCAAAAGAGTGATACTGACTACACCGATCACTGGGTGATGCGGGTTCGAATCTCCTCAGAAGGGACATGAGCTCCTTCAAGGTTGCAGATACACCTTGCTAACTGACTGACTGGTGAGTGCCAATTAACACGAAACCTAGGGTGTTGACAGGGCTTCCTGCCGATTGCCTCCAATCATCAAATATCAACAATTCACAGAGGGATTGTAAAATGATAGAGATTTCATTTATTCATTGGTAGACTATTATAGAACATCAGGTTGTGTTGTGTTCAATGAGGAATTTAAACAAATTGAAGTAGCATATTATAAGAAAACAGTAATGAATATCATCTAAGTTTATAGACGCATGAAACACTCGGATTAGTTAGTGACATGGTGTATTTGTCAACTATATATATGGTCTCTACATAGTATCAAAACTTCTATAATCTGTGCTGAATATACATACCATTCAAAACTTTAAACTGATACCTGAAAGTGTTTGTTGCATATTGCAGAGCTTCGATTTTATGGGACAGTACAATTTGCAAGAAGTTTCATGTAAACAACTCTTTGTATGTCAGTGTTTGTGTGCATTGATGATTCTAAGACCGGGTAAGTTTATTAAATAGTGTGTTTATCTGTTCACTTGTATTCTTATTTATATGCGTAATTATTAGCCGTGATTAGATATTTGTGGTATTTCTGGTTTGATTCTGATCTGTTCAAGTGTCGAATTCAATTTGTCATATACGTATTGCACAAGTTCAGTTGAAAATTACTATTGATAATGTGCGTCGGTGGCACAGAGGTAGGTAGAATGCTCGCCAGCCATTCACATGGTGCGGGGTTCGATCCCCGGCCGACTCACTCCTTTACCTCGCTTAACCAGCAATAAGATTGGTAAAGAGGCAAGGTTAGGCATGAGGCTAGCAATTCCATCTTATAAAAATAAATCCCACTACTACAGGAACTTCAAGACTGTTCCACTGGGAGCGTAAAGGAATAAAACAATAATAATATTAATACCAGCTTTATTCTGGGAATTCTGTGTAAGTGCAATACAGAATTCTCAGTGTAAAATTTCTTGCAATATGATCTGCTGCGCGAAAAGAACCTTTAAGTGAATATTTGTCGACAGTATTTTACTTTCTGTAACGTTATTCTATCTAAAACAAGATTTAATTCTCCATGATATATATATATTTCATTTTCTTCTTGAAGAGAGCACAGCCAGTGGGTTAGAGAAAAGACAATTTAAAATTCGCGTGACTTTATGTTGCTATCCAAAAAAGAAATTGAAAGAATAAAACAATAAGAAAGGGTGAAAACTGGTTGAAGGAGCAGGCTGCGAAGACAGGACTCCAGGTGATGAAGATAACCAACCAACGACAACAACAACCAGCACCAGTTACCATCCAAGGGAGAGATTTGATAGAGGTTACCTCCTTCACTCATCTAAGAAGCGTTGTTTCAACCACAGGCGGAACGAATGAAGAGATGCCTAAGCCAAACAGAATTGGAATGGCAAGACACGCCTTCATCAACCTGCAACCAGTTCGGAAATTCGGATTTTCAACACACACACGTGAAATCAGTCGGAAACTTAGTTCATCATGAAAAGCACTACAAACAGGCTACCACAGACTTTTACCAACAGTTCCCTTCTCTGGCTTCATTCTGAAGAACAAATGGCCAGAAAGAATAAGTAACAAGAAACTCTGACTGTGAACAAGCCAACTGAGAGCCGACCGCTCAACAAAATATGTAGGAGGAAATGGAGATTGATTAAGCATACATTGGGGAGACCGTTAAATGACAACGCGCGCAACGCAGGTCATCACTCTAGTGGAATCAAAATGGGGAGCGACGAGTAGGTCGTCAGTGTTGAGGGTAACATGGAGGAGATCGCTAGGGGAGGAGGAGATGAGAGATTATGGGCAATCGTGGAGCCAGATGAAGAGAACGGCAGATAATAGAAGAGGGTGGAGATGTTTTGTTAAAGGAATCGTGGGCATATATTTGACAGTTAAAGAAATGAATTTCTCTGCCAACTGTGGTTCAGACTTCTACTAAGTGAAATGAATAAAATGCCGAATCACATGATTTATTACTTATTTTCATTAGTAAATTTTGGAAAGGGTCGTCAATCATCGGATCACCAGATTCTTTGAACTGATGAGAATTGTATTATTCAAACACATTGTAAGACGTTATTCTTTAATTTTTTATATCAGAAAACCTGCAGGCTGTGTAGCTGAATACCTGTTGATAGATCACATGTGATATGTTGCTTGAAATTCCATTTATGTTCTGAAACACACGTGGAAAAATTGATAATTCACCCCATATAAACAGCAGTATTTTTATGGGGGCCAAATGAAAACTCACTTTTCACTAACACAGAATTTCAGAAGTTTCTATTCTTAAGGAATATATGGTGATAAAGTTTTAGTAATTGTGAAAGAGATATGTAACCCTTCGTTCACGAATTTGATATCACTCATGCTAACATACATATATATATGTTCGCAGATATCATATAAACTGTCATTAGATCAAACAGACAGGAAGCAAAACGAATCAGATACATTCAGCAATTACTACCTCGACATCTTGACCACGGTAAATTCACGGTCAGCTGATCTGACAATCCCGCTAGACAATCTACCTGAAGAACTGATGGTTACTTGCATATTTCCTCGAATTTTGGGATCGTTTTATCTATTCCCTGAGGCGTATGTCATAGTTCTAATACCTGCAATCCATGTTAAATTTAGCAGAATATTGGTCATTCGAATTTGTATTAAATCGGCTTATCTCTAGCAGGTGTTAACATTGAGCCATTGAAGTTTGGAATAATAACTTGACCTTATGCCTCGCATTTTCTCTAGAAATTATTAGAGAATAATGTTCGACACTTTCACCGTCTAAAGTGTAGCAGTGACTGTGTCAAGGATAATGGATTGATGTTGGTATCTACCCTGTCTCACCTGTGTTCTCATCATCAAAAGGTCAGTTTGTTTACAAACATAGATCTTCTCTCAGAAATAAATTGATACCAATGTGAATATCTCAAAATTGTAGTCTTCATGAGTGAGTAGATTTTCGAAAATCACTTGAACGTACTAGCTGACCCCTACCTACATACTGCAGCTGCTAATAATAATAATAACTGTTGCACGTTAGAATTTTCACTGAGATCATACTGCATTCAGTCTTAGCAAACATTTATTATTATTATTGCTCCCTTGGGTTCCCAGTGAAACATACGGCTTCAACTGCACGCACGTCTCCATTTGCTTCTGTCTTCCTTCTGCTGTACTTTTCACCTGCATCCATCTTAGTCCATATACTGTTTCAACTCCTCTTCACACGACCTCCTCCATGTCACTCTTGCACTGACGTCCCACTCGCCGCTTCCCTTTCGGCCTGGTTCCACTCGAGAAATGGTCTGACGCGCGCGCGATGTCACCAACCGGCCTCCTCATCCGCGAGTGTCCAATCCATCTCCACTTTCTCCTGCATATTTCTTGGTTGGCGATTGGTTCTCGTTTTGTTTGTTTGTTCCCAGCCATAGTTTCTTGTTGGTGATTGTTTCCGACCCGGTCATCTGATCTTCAGTATAGATCCAGCGAAGACAGACAGTTGTTGTTGATAAAGGTCTGCAACAGGCTATTGGAAATATTCTTTGTGACCCGCCCACCAAGTTTCTGATCCGTATAGAAGAACTGACTGACTTGACGTGTTTGTATTGAAAATCCGACCGAATTTTGTTGTTGATGCTGGCTGAGTGACGAAGATTTCGGGATTGGTTTCAGCTGGTTGATGAATGTGTTTCTCGCCTTCCTGATTCTCGCTCGATTTGACATCCTCGTCCGTTCCGACTGCGTGTAGTTGAGACAATGCTCCCTAGATAAGTGAGTGAATGAAGTAACCTTTTTCAAATCCCTCCCGTTGATGGTGATTGGCGCTGGATGTTGATGTTGTTGTTGTAGTTGGTTGGTTATTTTCATAACCTCCGTCTTGTCTATGTTCACCTGGCGTCCTGTCTTACTTTTTGTGTTATATCGCAATATTTAGGTAATAATAAACAAAAGTGGAGTTGATATTTTGGGATACCCTAATCACTGTCTAGTTTATTTTAGTGATAGCTTGGGAACTAACAGAAATAAGCGTTTTAAATAAGGCTGTTATTAGATCTATTCTTAAGAAACCTGTAGTTGCTTTACACGATTAGCATATCGTTGGTATTCTAATCATGAGGAATGCTGTTAAATCTTGAAGTAGCTCTAAACATGCCTCTTCGTTTGTCAGCAGTTTCCATGCACCCATAGCTATTGATCCACTCGAAGAATAGCAAAAAAAATTAACGCGTAACCCAATTCAGGAGAATTCCCAGTGGATCAAATCTTTCTTTTGTTTTCCAAAGTGCCGGAAGAGACCTTTTCAATGGCGTAGGTGAGCCGTTTAATAATCTTTTATGAATCAGTGAGCTATAATGAAAACAGAGAGTAGTTTAATAGCAAAACTGGGGTTTTAAAGCAGCAGGCATTATTATCGTTTTCAGGATCTCATAGGACACATAAATACGAATTAGGCTCGATAGGGCTGAGGTTTTGACATGCATACCTCCATTCTTATACTGCCTAAAACACCAGTCTGGAGTTACAGTGAGTAATTACAGGCTTTAACCAAACTGATATAATGGTAGCTTCCCTCTTTACCAGTCTTATTACTGGATAAGTGAGGTAATGGATTGAGTCGGCCGGTGATCGAACCGCGGACCATGTGGATAGTCGGCGAGCATGTTAACCGCGGTGCTACGACGCACCGTCTCAACACTAATAACCTAAATAATTTGTTTCTTTTCTTCTTCACCAGGTGGGCATTTTCTCATGAAATTATTCGATACATTCACTGAATTCACTACTGGTCTTATTTATATAATGGGCCATTTATTTGAAGAAATTTTCATTGTTAAACCTGTGACCAGCAGACCAGCCAACTCCGAAAAGTTAGTCTGTAGAAGTGTGTTTGAAATTAAATTGATTTTGTGTTTAAAAAAAGGCGGTAAAATTGTCAATCATTTTGTGAAGGTGAAAGATTGAAGGATATGTAAGAAATTTGTTTGTGATTAAATTATTTTGAAGAATGTGATTTGTGGAGATATAATTAATTTCAAGGTGGGTTTCATCACCAATTGACATCAGTTAGAGAGGAGTATTGAAAGCCTGCGTCTCAGTTTGGTACTATCTTCACCAATACGAACTTTCCAGTCAGAGATTGAAACCGGAATATTCGTGTTACGAGGCAAGCAGCTTATCCATTCAGTCAATCAGTTCGAATCTGATGGCCTATGAATTATAGCTTCTGTTAGTGATGAATTCTTTGATGAAGTGAAATTATTCTGCTGCCGAGTCTGACAGCTCCAAACTTAATAGCTTTCTGTTAGACATCAACAACTGGTCCAAGTCAAATGGTCTTATGTTAAATCCTTCCAAATGTCAGGTGCTTGACTTTACTTTCAAGTATCGACGTGACTTACTTGAACCAGTTAACTCTCATGATCCCTGTAGCATAGATGGCACGGAAATTGAAACCAAATCAAGTATTAAATACCTTGGACTAGTTTTTTCCTCTGACCTTTCATGGTCATCCCATATCTTATCTATCTCTAAGAAAATGTTTCGTCTTACCTTCTACATTAAAAAGTTAAGACAATCAGGTATCAACCAACCTTTAGTTTTGCAATTTTTAAACTCCTGTATTTTACCTATTGTACTCTACTGCTCTCCATTAATCTTTCCTGGGCTGCTCAAAAAAGATTATATCATATTACGAAGAGTATTAAATGCTGTGAGTAGAGCTTGTGGTCTGCCACTGCATGAGCTCGCTAATACTATAGTCGAGAGGCATATAAATTCCTGTACGAAATGGGCAAAGGCTATAATGTCAGACCCTCTGCACCCCCTTTATTCACACCTGTCCCCTTGTATCTCATCAGGTAGGACGAGAAGTCAATATAAAAAGATATATGCTCGTACTACTAAGTATAGAAATTCTACAATACCCTATTTAGCGCGTACTTTATGTGACGAAGACTCTGTTAGACGTGAAACTTACAAGTTACTATGTAATTAGCACAGTGAATCGACCTTTTTATCGTTCATCTTTCTGTATTTTATGGTATTACACTTTCTATCGTTTAAATCGTTACTCTGCTATTTTATATTAGTTGGTATTACTATTATTACTACAATTTTGTACTTTATACATATTTTTCTCCGTATGGCACACAGTATTTTGCTACGCAGCTGCTACAACAATCGTTTTATTACTATTATGTATTGTGTATTTTTAATTTTTTTTGTCGTTTTTGGGTAAATTAGATGCAATATTGTACTGAATGCTGAAAATTCCTTGCTGTATCATGAGTACTGTTTTTGGAATAAAGCAATTATTATTATTATTATTATTATTATTATTATTATTATAGGTGTTTTCCATTAGGATTGAAATTTAACTATCACATAGGTATCAGAATAGTGCGCATGGTAGTGATTGAAGACAAACTTTAATAAAGTACAAGTGGATTCCGTTAGGGGGGGATCAAACAGCATAAACTTGTTCTGAGTTGTGTCAAGCGTTCATAGTTGGTTTGTTTAGCGTACGATGGATAAATCAGAGCTGTCATGAACTGAAGCAACCTAATTGTCTAATTGGAACGAAGCGTTGTGATGTGACCAAGGCACTCTACTTGTACTTATGCAACCAGGTGAGGGCCTATGGAGAGTTGTCATCTGAAGTGGTGACAACTAGTGGTGTCCGTCACGGATACCCACTGTCCCCAATCCTCTTTAATTTCATCATAGATGTACTAATGGAATTAATCCTAACTGACTTCAGCGACTCAGGGATTGACTTGTTGCCAGGATATAATGTTGTTGACGTAGAATATACAGACGATATAGTCCTTCTAGATGAAGACGCTGAAGACCTTGAGAAACAATCGTCAGATGTTTGGCAAGCGATTCGCTCCTGTCGGTCAAATGTTAGATGATTCCGCAGGACTGGACTACATCGACTCACTCCTAGCTTAAAGATACGGGGTGAAGTGGTTGGTGGAGTGTGCTGACCACTTCACTTATTTAGGGAGGAAGCTGCATCAGCCAACGCCAGGAGGTTGACCGCTGACGAAATCTCAGCACGGATGCAGAAGGCTAACTCAGCATATTCCCACCAACGCAGTCTCTAGTGTAGACGCGATATCTGACTTGCTGTCGACCGGAGGTCGTGTGTAATATTTAGCAGTTCTCTCTGTCCTCCTTCATTGCTGGTTGAGAGTCATGGCCATTGAAAATGGAAGACATGGAAAGGCCAGTTGGCTGTCTTCGATCATAGGTGATCTACTATGTTTGGTGGCACGATAGGGTGAGTAGTATTGAGGTGAGGCATCGGTCGAGTGTTAGGTAAGGAGGGGAAATCGATCGGTGAGGTTGTGAGAGGCGTTACATCGATTGAAATGTCTAGGACTTGTGTTACGCATGCCTAGTCATCGCCTTACTTCTGAGGTTGTGTCAACTGACATAGGTTGGAAAAGAGCTAGCTAGTGGTGGTTAAACCAAAACATGGCTTCATCAGTCAGTGAAATCCACAACAGTTAGTTTAAGCTAGTCATCTCGTGGGGGAGGTGTAGACTTCCTGACTGGTTGGTGTCCTCGGGATAGTAAAAACCAATGATGACTGGAGACAGTTGGTGATATGGCTGAAAATCGTTCACAATAGCTGATGCAGATGCATTCGCTCTTTATGATTTATAATATGCAATAAAATTCTGTTGTTCTTCCATATTATTATTCTTGTTGGATCATATAACTATTTATTATCTCTATTTTGAGCTCCTGCTTACTATCTTCTCTTGTTTTGTGTGCTACATGAAGGGAGTGTGGCATCTTGAACTGCTGCACATCTGTGCAAAGTTTTACGTTGAAACCAGTCAGCCAGATGTCGAGTAGTCTATTTAGACCTCAGTTATTTATTATTACTTTTTGGTGGGAAGACAAAGCGGGTGGTGTATTGTATCTTACCTTATTATTATTATATCATTTAGTTCCTAAAGGAACATAGGGCTTCAGCTGCGCACCTCCATTGCCTTCGGTTTTCTGCTAACTTTTTCACTCCGCTCCAAGTCTGCCCACATGCTTTCATCTCCTCCTCGCATGACCTCCTCCAAGTCACCCTTGGACGACCAACTCGCCGCCCTCTTTCCTTTCGGGTTCCACTCGAGTGATGGCTTGTCTAGTGATGTCACTTGATGGTTTCCTCAGGGTATGGCCAATCCATCTCCATTTCTTCCTGCTTATTTGTTTCACAATCGACTCCTGGTTGGTTCGCTCGTTGCCAGAGATCCCTGTTGCTGATCTTTTCTGGCCGGCCATCTGATCTTGAGTATTGAGCGAAGACAGCTGTTGATGAAGGTCTGAAGTTTGTTTGAGATGCTCTCTATGACGCACCAAGTCTCTGATCCGTATAGTAGTAGCACTGACTTCACATTGGAGTTGGAAATCCGGATCTTATTTTTGATGGTGAGTGATGTTGACCTCCACACAGACTTGAGAGTAATGAAAGCTTGTTTTGCTTTTCCGATTCTGGCTTTGATATCCTCGTCAGTTCCGATGGCGTGTAGTTGGAACGATGCTTCCCAGGTAGGTAGGTAGGTAGAAGGTTTCTTCTTTCAAGTTCCTCCCATTTATTCTGCTGATTGTTGTCTGTTTTTGTTGCTGCTGTTGGTGTTGGCCAGGAATCTTCATCACCTCTGTTTTCTCTATGTTCACATGAAGTCCTATCTTTTGATGCCTCTTCTGCCAACTTGTTGCTTTTCACTTGCATATCTTCCAGTTTATGGGAAATCAGACATATATCATCGGCGAAGTCCAGATCCTCCAAGTCTTTTGTGTGAGTCCATTTTATGCCTGTTTCCTCATTGCCCGCCGTTGTCTGTCGCATTATCCAATCTACTGCAATCAGGAAAATCATTGGTGATAGTAGACAGCCTTGTCTCACTCCCGTCCTCACTTCGAAGGCTTCCGTAAGTTTCCCGTTGTGGATTACTTGGCATGCAGCATTGTCGTATAACTGTTGGATGAGATGTATAATTGTCGATGGGACCCCGTAGTAGCGAAGTAGTTTCCAAATCACCTCTCGATCGACGCTGTCGAAGGCCTTTTCAAAGTCGATGAAGTTGAGATAGAGAGGTGACTGCCATTCCAAGCTTTGTTCAATGATGATTCGTAAAGTGGTGACTTGTTTCTCCTGAATCCAGCCTGTTCCGGTCGAAGTTTTTCATCTAGGGCTTGTTTGATTCTCTCCAGGATGATGCGGCTTAGTATTTTGCTTGGAATGGACAGGAGCATAATTCCGCGCCAGTTTTTACATTGACTTAAGTCTCCTTTCTTTGGCAGTTTGAATAAGTAACTGTTCTTCCAATCCTCGGGTACTTTGCCCTCTTTCCACACCTTCTCCAGCAGTGGCGTCATCAAGTCCGCTGTTGTCTCTGGGTCCATTTTCAAAGCTTCTGCTGGGATTCCATCTGGTCCTGCTGCTTTTCCGGTTTTTAGCATCTTGATTGCATTCAGGACTTCTGATTTCGTCGGAGGGTCGATGTTCACTGGTAGTTCTGCTTCCGTTGTTGGTATTGTTGGGCGCGTTGTAGGTGGCGGACGATTTAGAAGTCTTTTGAAGTGTTCAGCCCAGTGCTTTCTCTGTTCCACCTCTTTGGTGATTGACTTTCCATTGTCGTCCTTTATTGGCTTAATCTGTGTCGAACGTTTGCCCGAAAGGTGCCTAGTTGTTTGGTAGAGTGTGGCGAGGTCTCCTTTGCCTGCAGCTTGTTCTGCTTCGTTTGCCATGGTTTCATAATATTTTCTTTTGTCTTCCCTGGCACTCTTCTTCACTCTTTTGTTCAGTGTATTGTAGCTTGCATTCAACTCCTGTTTTTGTTGCTCGTCAGTGCACTGGATAATCTTTTGTTTCACTGTCCTTCTCTCTTCTATTAGTTTCCAAGTGTCCGTAGTGAGCCACTGTTTGTCCTGTCTCTTCTTTCTGCCTAGAACTTCCATGCAGGTTTGACTCCACACCGTTTTCAAGTTGTTCCAGTGCTTTTCGACACTGACCTCTTCGCTGGTGTTGATTTGTGTCTCGGCTTTGTCCTTTATGCTTGCAATGAAGATGTCCTTTGTAGCCTGGTCCTTCAGCTTTTGAGTGTTGAACTTGGCTTGTGGTCTATCTGCAGCTCCTGATTCCCTGAAAGCTTTTAATTTGATTTGGATTGTCCCTTGTACGAGATAGTGGTCTGAGCCAACGTCTGCTCCTCTTCTTGCTTTTGTGTCCAGTAGGCTGCGCCTCCACTTCCTTGAGATTGAGATGAAGTCGATTTGGTTTTTGGTTTTCCCATCTGGTGACACCCATGTAGCCTTGTGGATATCTTTGTGTTTGTATACACTGCCACCAATCACTAGTTCGTTGAAGGCGCAGAAGTCGGCGAAGAGTTCTCCATTTTCATTCATTTCTCCGAGAGCTTCTCTACCCATGATGAGTTCCCTTCCTGTGTTGTCTGGTCCCAGTTTGGCGTTCATGTCTCCCATTAGTATTTTCATGTCGCCAGCTGGAGTATTGTCCATTGTTGCCTGTAGTTGCCTGTAGAATTCTTCTTTCTTTTCGAGGTCTGCGTTGTTTGTGGGTGCATAACATTGTATGATTGACACTTTCCTTCCTTTGGAGTTGAATCTGGCGGTCATTATCCTGGACGAGGTCGCCTCCCATTGCATCAGGGCTTTCGTTGCCGTTGGTGACATCATGATAGCCACGCCCTCGGTGTGCGTGTGGTTATCTTCTGGGTGACCGGAGTAGATCACTGACTCACCCGTTGACAATTTGGTGAGTCCACTCCCATTCCATCTGCTTTCACATATTCCCAGCACTTGGATTCCGTATCTTTTCATCTCGTTGGCGATCTGGGCAGCTTTCCCTGTCTCGTACATAGTGTGGACGTTCCATGTCCCCACACAGACTTTTTCTTTTGGTGCAAAGAGGTTCATCGTGCTGAAGATTCTGTAGCAATATTGTTTCCAGGGTGGGGTTGCTAGCCTCACGCCTGAGAAAGGAATGGTTACATTAAGATAAAGTTTAGAGAGAAGCGACCTTTTGGGTTGCTCCCCTTAAAATCAGATAACAAGGGATAAAACAATCAGAACAACACCAACAAAAGGAAAACAATTCACAGCAAAAAGGGCAAAAAGCGACAACAACGATACAATACAACAACATGCAATATAGTTCAGCACAGTTAACTAAAATGATATCTCAACCATAGACTCACTGTCTTGGCGCAACTTGAACATATAAATCCAATAATATATGCAATTTTACGTGTGGGTTGTTTTTAAAGGATACAAATGTCCAAAAACTCTGTTATAGGTATTAGTAGTCAATAATAGTAAATCCAGGGTTTAAGCGTTCGAAAGTTAACGGAATTCAATAATTTCCAGAACTTCGTGGTGAGCAATAGCAAAGAAATGAAAGTTTTATAGTATCTTACCTTGACTGGTCATAATTCTTGGATGTATTCTTAGAATAATAGTAATAGGTAAATAATATTTGTTGCTTGCGAAGCTTGTCTTTCCAATTGTTGAAGCCCTCTGTGTGGTTTTGCTTTAATCGGTGAGCTTTACATCATCAGATCAAACATAATTGTTTTGTGATTATCTAACTTATCACTTTGAAATCGGCATCCCTTTTCACTGGAGACGCTTCCACTTTGTAGTAATGTAGCAGTGCTGATGTCTGATAATTTTGATGTTCATTTCTCTCGTTGATCGAATTCAGCAGATGAAATGTGAATATAATTTGCAATCAGTGTAATGGCTTAAGTAGTAATCATGTTGTGAATGTCCGAACATCAAACTGCTTACTTCTAAGCTTCAATTGTACCCCGACAAGGATTATGGAAGTGGTGTGTGAAGAAAACATAGAGAATATCGAATTTAGATGATATTCAAGTATTGGTTTTGTAGGGATTTGATTGAATGGTTACAGGACTTCATCATGATCTGACATTGGTTAGAGAACCATTGGAAACCACCTGGGAGTCCTAAACTAGGACGAAACAGCTGTTCAGTACTCCCAGGTCTTCCAGCGGTTCTCTAACCAATGTCAGCTCATGATGAAATTCTGCAACGAATTCAGATGACTTGTCAGTTGCATTTGACAGTGATACCATAAACTAATTAACCATACACAACAAGTCTTAAACCTGGAAATTTAGAACACAGAAAATTGAATAAGTTCTCTTCTCTCTATAATATGTTATTTTGACTTTGCCAAAGATTGAGTAAAGGGAACTAATGTGGTATGAATGAAGTTATAACACACTGATGAGTGATGTGCCATATTATTTCTGGGAAGGATTGAAAATGTTCATTATAGTTGCTGATCGGCCAACAATGTCGTACTCATGTAGTGTTGTGCGATAAATATTTATGTATGTTTGAAACGACAGAAGACAAGGACCAGTCAACAGATCGTTTATTGAGAAAATCAACAGATATTTATAGATTTTTATGTACATTATTGTTCGTTATTGTTAGTAGAGAGGTAACGTCTTCTGATTGGTTGTTCTCCTGCTCAAAGTTATTCTGTCATCTGTTTGTTGCCGTTTCTTAACAGTCCGTTGATATATCTGCGAATCGTATCCGCCCACGCTAAGTGGGTTGTGATTGGTTGTTGAGTTCCTCAAGGTTAGGCTTTGTTCTTGTTTTTTCTCATGACCAAGATTTGGAACGTAAACATTGACGTAAATTGCTATCGAACAATTTCGGCTAGCAGACAGCTCTCACCACATGTTCAGTCGACTTCTTTTGAAAGAGTGATACGGCATGATGATGTCTTCTAACATGAAATTGAATCGGTAGTTGGTCATAACACTATCTCAGATAACTTGTTTGTTCGATGAATCCACATTTGTTTTATTGTTATTTTTTGAGTAGATTAAAATCGTATTTTATATCTTTCATATGATTAAGATTGTTATCTTGTCTCTATTCAGATTCTTAATATGCAAAAGTTTAAGGTCAACTCTGATTTCAATGGTTGGCAGTTGCTTACCAGCTCCAAAGTCATCTGTAACAAGTACTCCTGAGGATGGCAGTAAGCGTCATGATACACCAAGTGGTCCACTGAAGTCACATCAGCTTCAAGCGAATAGAAACACTGAGAAGACAACAACATCTTTGAATAAGGCTGAAGATGATGCCGATAAAGAATCATGTTTAGATTATGATTTTGAACTAAATATCACAAAGGAGTCAAATCCACTTAAATTCATGATCAATTACCTTTCACAAGTCAATAAAAAGTTGAGAAATGTCATGTCGTCATCTTGTCGTCAAAAGACTGATGTGTTAAAAGTGTGTCCAAGTGAAATTATGGAAAATGATGTAAAGTTCATGCGTTTTATGCGAAATATGAATGAAAGGTGAGCGTATTTATTCTTAAATGTTAGTAGACTTTTGAATAGTTACCTTTCAGGTAAAAGATTTCACAAAATAATCAATACATAGGAAAAAGACGTAAACAGTGAAGAAAATTTTCCCTTTTCGACGATTCATTTTCATAAGCTGCTGTACAGTCGTAATTATATTTAACAAAAAAATCATTAGACCAATCAGATACTGGCAAACTTTGTCCTCGGAAAATGTATTGCGTGATGTATGGTGATACCTAGAAAGGATGACTATTCAAGATTATAAAAGAGGCAGAGGTTAGCATGACGTAATAGGGGTGAGTAATGACTTATCAATAAGCTCGTGTAGAAGGGATAGGAACTAGTGGAAAGACGATAAGTGTTTTTACATAAAATTTGTATGAAAAAGCAATGTTATTAATAAACAGTAATAGAATGGGTAATACAATATGGATGATGAGAATAATAATGACAATTATAAATAGTAGTAGTCATAACAGTAATAATAGTGAACTTAAGTAATAAAAAAGAAGCGAAATTATAATAAGAACTTTACTTTGCCCACGTTAGGGCGAGAGAATGTATGTATCGCTTTTGAATGCAGAGGTCCGGTTTCAGATCCCGAATAGCTTACGATTCAGCTATGTACAGATATTGAAGGACTCTGTGTAGCACTGTGAAGCATTATTCATGCCGGGGTGCTCGATGTCTAGAGATGACAAGGTGTTCAAGGATGGAGCTGCTACTATTCTTCTTTTCTCCTCTGGCTAACCAAGCTGGACAGTGTTCCAGAATACATTTGTGGACTTGACGTTGAGTACGGCCGATAAATTTTGCTCCATACGAGCAAGTAAACTGTAAATACACTTTGAAATGGCCAAAAGCAGTATCTTATCCTTAACGTTAGACTGGATTAACTGTCTGCCTAGAATGTGATACGTAAGGTGGCTGCTTGAAATGTAGGTGGCGCATATATACTCATCCATATTGCTACTATTTTAGGTATTTTTTAAGGTAAACATGCATAGTTTTAGTCAGTTTTTAACAATGCAGTTGACAAATGAGATAGTAGGCGGATGAAGATTTCGACTCCGATGATCTTGTTACACAATATTCTTGTTTCTGAAAATGAATATTCTTTTTGAAATTCTACCATCTTTGAATGTTAAATATTATTTTCCAGAATTACAACTCGTCAGTGTATTGCATTGTCTAAGTTGATCACATTTTTGAAAAATCCACATCTTGTTGAAGATAGAAAAAGTGCTTTACGACAATCATGTTTGATGAAATGGCAGGTAATTTGTAAGCTGTTTTTTTCTCTTTCAAGTATTGATTTGCAGGGTTCTTTTGTTTGATTGGTTGGTTGGAAGATTTCATCATGAGTTGGGGTTTCTAGTAGGAAGTGGTGAGCAACAGTAGAGTACAGCAGATCGAAGGTGAGGACAGTTACTCATCGAAGAAGACATTGCGAATAGGTCGCGCTATATCGTGAATAGGCAGTAGTTAGAATTCATGGTTGTCCATCAGATCGGGTGAGTCCCAATGAGTGGTCTAATGGTCTACAAGTTAGCTAGCTCGCCTTGTAACCAGAAGGCCCTGGGTTCGAGCCCTATGTGTGGCATGGGGTGTGTGCATACTGCTGAAGCAGAGTCCGGAACTAGGGTGACTAGACAGTCGCTAGCTGTCCAGTATTCCCTGTGACTGGTTCCCAGTGGTTCTCTAACTGATGTCAACTCATGATAAAATCCTCCAACCAATTGTTTCTTTTTTGTTTGCATATTTGTATCACAAATTACTTATTGTCACTGAGATATTTTTATGAGTTACGTGTTGTGTGTTTCGGATAATTACATGGATGAAGATGTATGGAAGGCATTTTGTGAGAATTTGTTTGTGTATGTGTGTGTGCGTATATGTATGAAATTTGTCACAACAGCACATGATGATGCAATTGGTTTGCTCGTAAAGATTTATGGATGTACATTATACTTGATACTTGAAGTATGTTGCTTTGCCTGAAATTTGAGACATAATGTGAAATCAAGCTAGGCATTTTAACGACACGAATAACTTCCATGAAGTTGAAGATAATTTAAGTTTCTTATGAAGTATGCAATGTGTGTAAAAAAAGTGTAATTCATCTGACTGCAGGCATCTTATTTCATCTTTCTGTTTAACATGCATTCTGTGTTTAAACAGTCTTTATGTGGAGATATGGAACAATGAATGAAGAAAGCTTATGCGACGGACGTTGGCTGTTGTTTCTCTAATGTCTTCTACTGTGTTTTTTTTTCATTTATGTATGAAGTTGTGAATTTAATTCCAGATGGATGTTACTCCCTGTTAAGACTTCATCGACTTATTTATAGAAAGATTACTGTTCGAATGCTATTTGAGTGTGGTGTCTACTTTCCGTCTCATATTATTATATTCAATTTATCATTTAGCGGAATAGTATGTTCAGGGTGTACAAGAATATTTGAAGGTGTCGGAATCAGTTATTTGAAATTTGTCATTGATTTTGGCCACATTGCAAACTTGACTGATAGAATTCAATCTAAATCAGACAAAGGGACTAGACACATTACACTAGTTACTGACTAATGCTCAATCAAAAATATCTAATACAGTCCTACAGAAGGTCAATCGCGAGGTCGAATAGCTCAGTGGCTGACAACGTCTCTGACTTCAGTACTCACTTAGTGACGCTGGTTCGAATCTCATCAGAAGAGATATGGATTCCTTCAAGGTTGCAGATACGCCTTGCTGTGACTGTCTGTTGAGTGCCAACTAGCACGAAACCTAGGTTCAAGTAGGCTTTCCTGTCGATTGCTTCCAACCATCTAATATCAACATTTTAAAGTGTGCACCATGATGGTGAGCCACTTAGTGGCATGGTGGCCACATTGCAAACTTGACTGACAGAATTCAGTCTGCACTGAAGATTAGGACTAGACATACACAATACACTAGTTACTAACGAGTGTCCAATCAAAGTATTGATTTTAGTTAGTTACATGTTTGAATCATATTCGATGGCATCATTATTTTTGATTCTATTACTGTACAAAATATCATTTTAGATTCCAGTGCAAAAACGTTTACATATACCATGGCCAATGACAGATGGAAGTAGACTCACACTGAATCAATATTTGTTGTTAGCTGTAAGTTATTACGATTTGTGTGTGTGTGTGTGTATCATTCAGTGATAGGCATATTGACCTGTGTGTATTAGATGTTGACGGTAGTCAAATAGTAAGAAGTGGTTTAAGTTTTGTTATATGTATGCTGTACTCGTTGGTCATAGCATATGCGGCTACTTAGTGAGAATCATGTTTCCAGTCAGTTTCTAATGGATCATCCCACCGGATGACGAATATAACCTGACAACGATGAATTCATACGCATCAGTTAGTCCTACAGAGGGATTCACTAATGATTTGAAAGGATAACTTGTGGATTCAGTTACAGCAAAAAAAAAATTACGCATCCTTGAATATGAATTTTCTTGAGTATACGAGCTAAACAAGCAAAAGAAATAAAAAGAAAAGCAGATTATTCAGTTTATTGTGGTTTTGTTTAACGGAATGATTAACAACTCAGGATTTTTGAGTGTATCTAGTGTATGAATGGTAAGGTATGCAATTTGTAGACTTGAAATGTTGCCTTGAACAGAGGCCGACAAGATAGATTTCATTACATATTCATGATATCATTAGGAGAACTATTGAAAAATGTAAGGTGACCTCCTGCAAACCGCAAGAAGTTCGGGTTCACGAACCTGCTTGATTTTGACCCCAGTGACTGACTGTCACTGCTCTCTCTCTCTCCGAAACCAGAAAAACAACTGAACAGATTTCATGACTGTTCAATATTTGTGCATATATGAAGGTATTATATTGATGCTTTGAAGTTTCTGTATCAATTTGTTTAAGTTTTGGGGGTGGAGCTGCTAGCATGATGTTCCGACCCTCCCTCTTTATCCGGGCTTGGGACCGGCTAGAAAACTAGCGAGCTAGTAGAATCTAGGCGAGAAACACATCAACTGAAACCAATCTAGAAATCCTCGTCACTCAGCCAGCATCAACAACAAAATTCGGTCGGATTTTCAATACAAACACGTCAAGTCAGTCAGTTCTTCTATACGGATCAGAAACTTGGTGGGCGGGTCACAAAGAATATTTCCAATAGCCTGTTGCAGACCTTTATCAATCAACAACTGTCTGTCTTCGCTGGATCTATACTGAAGATCAGATGGCCGGACCGAAAACAGTCACCAACAAGAAACTATGGCTGGGAACAAACAAACAAAACAAGAAGCAATCGCCAACCAAGAAATATGCAGGAGAAAGTGGAGATGGATTGGACACTCGCGGTTGAGGAGGCCGGTTGGTGACATCGCGCGCGCGTCAGACCATTTCTCGAGTGGAACCAGGCCGAAAGGGAAGAGGCGAGTGGGACGTCAGTGCAAGAGTGACATGGAGGAGGTCGTGTGAAGAGGAGTTGAAACAGTCAGTATGGACTAAGATGGATGCAGGTGAAAAGTTCAGCAGAAGGAAGACAGAAGCAAATGGAGACGTGCATGCAGTTGAAGCCGTATGTTTCACTGGGAACCCAAGGGAACAATATTAATACAATAATATGAAGGTATAGTAATCATTCACGGGTGTACGAAATCCACCCTATGGAGGTACCGTTTTTTAAGGTATAGTTAAATTTGTTATTCATCTATGCATTCATCATCGTTACCAGTGGGGTTATTTAATGTGTTATTGAATATTTGTGACCATTCCTCTCATTTAAGGAAGGACGAGTAATTTGTATAACTGTATTTGTAATTATTAATTACAAAATAACTGATTAAACTGTGTAAACGTGAAGAGCCATTTAAAGCCTGTTTTATATTCTAAAACTTGTTTTAGTTCATTTTATAAATCTGTCTGCCTACTTTATTACTTTTTATTAGAATATTCAAGGCTGTTTCATAGAATGTCAAATGCTGTGCTAACTGTTGACCAATTAATATACACTGTTCTTAAGTCTGTTCACAGATTGACTTGATTTAGAGCATCCTCAAAGACCAGATATTACTCAACAGCTGTTTCGTCCTACTGTGTGATTCTTTAGCAATACACACCCATTACTTCACTGAGTGTCGAGCCTAGAACTATCAGGTTACGAGGTGAGTCCGTTTACTATTCAGCCCCTTGCCTGAAAATTCTGCCTTCTACAGATTCCCCAAACAATATCATCGTAAAGTGTTTAGAATTCATGATCCATTGGATCACGTCCCAATGACTGAATATTCTGCAGACTCTCCTCGTAACCTGAAAGCTCTGGGTTTGGTCCTCGGCGGCGAAGGGGGGTGGATTATGTACTGATGAAGAGGCCCAAAGCTAGGAAGAAACGATTGTCCAGTACTCTACGGTTTTCAATGGCTCTCTAACTGATGTCACACTAATCAAATCCCTACAAGTTAGCTTTTGAGTCCGGACATTCTAGGCATTAGGTTAGTAGATAAATAGAAAACTGAGAATTTCTAAGCAAAGCTATTCAGTATTCTGGTTTTTATCCTCAGAGTAGAATGAGACTTATTTTGAAATGCATTATTTCATTTAGAGTTGGTTTATTGAGAAAGAGTATTTAGTTTCTTTATATACATAATCTGTATTCTGTGCGCGTGTGTGAGTGTGTATGTGGTCGTTGGTTGATTAAACAACTAAAACGTAAGATGTTCTTTTCTTTATTCCTTTACCTCTCCACTGGAACATAGGGCTTCAAGCTAGAGCTTTGAAATTTCGTTGGTAGTGGGATTTACTTTTATAGGATGGGGTTGCTAGCCTCATGTCCAACCTTCCGTCTTTACCAGTCTTATTACTGGCTTAATGAGATAAAGGAGTAAGTTGGCCGGGGATCGAATCCTGGACCACCTGAGCGGTTGGCAAGTGTTCTACCTCTGTGCCACCAACGCTAAGGATGTTCAGCTACTTTTAATTAACGTTAGTGAGTGATAACTAGAGATTTTGAGGATGGCTTGAATACTAGTGACACTTTGAGAAACTATCCTGGTATTGCAAGCCTAACACTTTATCATTTCAGATAAGAGAGGCATATACTAAGTGAGTCTACACTTCACCGCAGTAACCAAAACGTTGTCTGGTTGTCATGTGAATAATTAGCAGGTAACTGTTTGTTTAGCCGTTTCATTTTTTAGTTTGTTGGTTTGGATATTGTTTTTTATTTCTTCTCCAGTCATCGTTTATCGCATAAGATGATCAGTTTGCCAACAGATCGAGTGCCTCAGATAGTCCAACTAACAATTTTCTTTCTATCATAAATGTTTAGTATGAGAAATTGTTCTGTGTTAGTTTACTATACTGAGGTGAGGTGCAATGGTAGGGTGGTTTTAATCACAGTACAGGAATTATGCATGAATCATTCAGGAACAGTGTAAGCATATTCTCTATATTATTCATTAATTTATGCACATGTATTCCTTACAGGACAGTAGAATACCTTTACCTCGTGAATATTGTCCTCATACAAGACTCACTTCAATAAATAAGAAAGATATAAATGATCAGAAGGATTGGAATGGGCATCATATTGGATTGGTTTGTGGTAAACCACCCCTCACTTCCTTATTCAAAGCTGCTCAACCGATGTTGATTTATTCACGTGGTAGCAGAAATGAAGTGAGTTGTTTATAACGAACTGTTGCTATTGTTGTTGTTATTTTATTGCTCAAAGATGGTAAACTTCCAGCGTTAGTTATGGGAATTATTCCAAACGAATTAAGTATTTGACTATTTGTGACCGTTATAAGTGAAAGAAGAATGGTATTTTCATATTCACTTTATCCACAACCATGAACTTTTAGTCGAACGTTATCACTGAAATCCTAATGCAAAAGTACACTCTGCTTAACGTGTTTCACAAAAGTAGACTAATATTTGAAAGTCTGAGATCAAATTTTGATCACAGCTCATACAATTTTATTCATTATATTTTGATGCCGGTTTAATGACTCATATGACTGGACAACGTTTTTAAAAACAAGAGATGCCCCTTTTCATATATATAAAGCTTTGTCATTTTAATTTCGATTGATTTCCCTGAAGTTCAGGCCAGTTTTGTCGAACGAAACGTTGGAATTACTCATTTCAATTTCTCTGAGAATTTATATATATGTTTTAGAATTTATTAGTTTAATTTCCCGAGGTATGTAATATTTATATATGATGTACTTTTTTCAAGTGAAATGGAATTTTTCTCAGTGGCATCGATCACTTTGTCTTGTTTTCATTTTGGTGTAATCTAAGGGGGTGCGGGATAGATTGACCAGTAATGAGTCTCTGGTCTTCAGTCGAGTTACCTGTTACTTCTCAGTATTAAACTGACAAGTAAGCAATTTTATCAAGTCATCAGTAGACGTAAGACTTTACAACTGTTGGTTGAGGGTTTGTGGTCCACTGTACACACAGACATACATCACTAGGTGAAAATGGTTACCATAGCAATATTAATAAAGAAGATACTACAATAATTCTAAAAATATTCATCCTTTCATAGACTCCTATTCTTCTTAATATTATTACTCCTTTACTTCAGGATAAATTGTGCACAACAGATGGAGATACTTGGGAAACATTAAATGAAGTGATACCAGACTTACAACCTCGACTTCCAGCAGGTACTTTGATTTGGGGACGAGCAACTAACGAATACTGTTCAAAGGTATGTTTTTTTTCTGTGAATAACTCTTTGGGATGACAGTTGATTTACTGTGAAGTCTTCAATATTCATTAAATTCTGCAAGGTAGTATTAGTTGTTACGATCCAGATATTACCAGAACATTTGTGTATATATATGTGTGTGGGAGTGTTGAGGGGGGGATACCCTGTTATTTGAAGGGATTCAAGGCGTCATATAACTGTAAAATACAGTCATCATCTGGAAAAGAAGATATAATCAGAATCCATACGACAATATTATTCAGGTGACACAGAGCACAAGTTGATGAATACACCTTTGGTCGACGAGTGACAATTTTTGGAACAATCACGAGAAATAACCAAGACGATTGAATGTTAAAAAGACTAGGAGGTGACCGTCTACTACTCTGATTAACAGCAAGAATTGTATGCTTGAATATAGTGATTTTCTGAAATGGATTCACAGAATTTTGCATTGATTCATTCAATGACTGATTAAGGTGTGTGTGCGTGGGGGTGGGTTGAATCATATGTTGCATATATACGCTCCCGTTAATAGATGAATACACCAGAGTATCAGAGTAGACTAAATAATGAGGAATTTCCGTGGTATAGTGAAGTCAACACTTAATAATCAAAACTTATTGAAAACAGTTGCGACATTTACTTTCTTTTTGGCCGAGTTAAACTTTCGACACCACTAACTACCGATCAGCGAACGATGTCGAATTATCCAGTGAGATTCACGAACTTAGTTCAATGTTGTATAGCTCTTGATTCATTTCTAATGCGTGCCCTTACAAGTTTACGGTTGCAATTCTAGGAGGACAGTGTTTTCCAGTATTGCCTGGAATTAGGGTTGCTCCGGAAGGAGCGAACTTGTTCGTGTGGTGGTATCATGATTTTAAAAGCTATAGCAGATCAACTGATGGATTTGTTCATCGTTGTGTTACATGTTTGAAGCGTTGTTAGCATTAGAGAGGGTAAGCTGATAATTTGAATATTTCGTAGGAACTTTTTTCGCTAGGTCGCATCTCTCCTTAACCCAGATTTTGTATATCCGCAACTACTGGGTGTTGAAACAGCCGGTGAGAGCAGCAGCTGCCGAGAAGGAGAACAGCCTCGTCCCAACAGTTCAGTGGTACCGGCATCGCAGAGATATTGCTTCGTGGGAAATAGAGAAAGGGGTTCGTCGAACGGATAGCTGATAGAAAAGCAACCACTTTAATATAACGAGACTTGTTAAACAGTGGTCAACTATACACACGGACGAGTGGAAAGGTTATAATTCGCTGTCATTTCTGAGGTATATTCATCACAGAGTGAACCATTCAATTGATTTCGTGGATTCCGTTACGAGGACTCATACGAATTCCATTTGAACGGTTTTGGGGCCGCTTAAAAAACAGGATAAGGGCTATAAACGGATCTCATTTATAGTCATTTAGATGAATATATGTACAGGATGTGGTGTGATTTCTCCATTGACACTCCCATGCTTAACTGGTAGATGTTTCTCTCACATGTTCGAGAAAGATACCCATTGTAACCGTTTTATCCTTTTTATGCTTTTTTTTCTTTAAAATATACCTTTCCATTTATCATAAATGCCTCTTTAGTGTGATTGGTCCTTTCAAGGTCGTTTGCTGATTGGTTGTTAGTGCTGTCGAAAGTTTAACTTTGCTCACGTGATGTACTTTGAATTGATTTTAAGTGGTGTTGGGATTATCGGGGGAAAAACCGCAAATCATCTAGGTGCTACAATAGTGGGAGCACGTTGTGATGCTAGTTTGAAATTGAAAGAAGACATTAGTAGATACGGCCTTGTTTATCAGTGCCAACATCTACGAAACTCTCCAGGCATTTTAGTCTGTCCACTGTATGTATGTTAACTTCCATTGAACAACTGTTTGTTAATTGTGTTTGATTCGTTTATTTTAATCTTTTCAGACTGGATTACGAAAACATGCATTGTTTGTTTACGATGTTTTGTGCATATATGGTCGTGATTGCCGTCAACTTGGTTATAAAGAGCGGTGAGTAGATGTTTTGAGAGTGTCTACTTCTTTGAGTCATCGATCCATTTCTTTAGCTTGTTTTTTCGTTTTCTCTTCAACTCTGTAAAATGGTATCAGTTTATAGTGTGTCGATGTAAGTCGATACTCACATAAGGCGTTTCTTAGTTGTATCTAGTGTATAACAGATTGATGATACAATCTGACATTAAACGTATAAACACAATTGTATTAATTTTAAAGTGTTGGTTTGGTAGGATTTTGTTTGATTAATTGGAGGATTTGATCATGAGAGGACATCAGTTAGAGAACCAATGGAAAACCACATGGAGGAGCTCAATAGCTGTCTCATCTTGGTTTGGGACACTTCGTCAGTACACACCCACCTCACCGGCAGGGTTCGAACTCACAACTTTCCGGTTGCAAGGCGGGCTAGCTCGTAGACCACTAGCCACTCACTGGGACCCACCCAATTCAACGGCCAACCTATAAATTATAACTTCTGCCCTATAAAACCAATACTTGAAAATTGATCTGATCCTCACTAACGACTGGCCCTATTCAGGCAGTTAACCTCGGGTTCTAGTGTGAAGCCATGACCAGTAGGGTGCAACAGGTCAAAGGGGTGGACAGTTACTCATTGAAGAAGACATTGCAAAGTGGTTGCGCCATATCGTGAGTAGGCAGAAGTTAGAATTCATGGTCTGGCCATTGGATTGAGTGAGTCCTAGTGAGTGATTGATTGGTCCACAACCAAGCTCACCTTGTAACCAGAAAGTTGTGAGTTCGAACCCTGAGTGTGGGGTGGGGTTGGTGTGTACTGGTGAAGCAGAGTCGAAACTAGGGTGACGAAACAGCTGTTGAGCTCTTCCAGATGGTCTTCAAATGGTTCGATAACCGATGTCAGCTGATGATGAAATCCTCCAACATTTGTGTTAGATACAGATAGATTTCCATCTGTTATATTGGTTAAATTTATTTATCAATTGAATGTTAGTGAGTCAAATCTCCGTGGTTTTGACAAAACTTGATTACCTGAATGATGTCATCGTTAAGCGACCGAGAGTGTTGGTATTTGAGAGTTCATTTTGTGAATACTCTTTGGTTTACTTGTTTGTCAAACTGATTATCTAATTCAATTTGAATTTTCATATTGTTCATATTATTGTAGAATGAAAGCTGTCGAACGAATGGTGAGTGTAGTTAATTTTCCTGATATGAAATCATCGAATATTCGTGTTCCACCGTTTGTCCATTTATCACAACTTGATGATTATATAAATGGGTGAGTAACATTCTTTGTTGACTATATTATTTTTTTCAAGATGACAATAGTTATTCCAGGTTCATGGGTTTAAGGCATTACATAGTATTTATTTTTATGAGCCTGTGCTTGTAAATAATACTGGTAAATGTTGATGAGAGAGTTTTAAGAACATAGGAATGTGTTTATTATTATCATTCCCTTGGGTTACGACTGGAACGAAGGCTTTCAGCAGTGCATCTGCATTTCACACTTTTCAGTGATTGTTTTATATGGCTTCACGGTTGTCCATGAGATTTCATTTCCTCAATATCACACTTGGGCCAGTGCCCGCCTGTTAATTTCCCAATTCAGGTTCCACTCAGTGATGTCTCTCAACAGTCTCCTCACTGTAATCCTATCGATCTCCATTTCCTTCTGGATTCTTGTTGGATTATGGATTCTTGATTGGTTTGTTGCTAGAGCTTCTTGATGCTTATCTCATCATCAGTATTAAGAGAACGAAAGAAACTTAGTTTACAACAAGCTCTTAGAAATGCTTTCGACGACACGTACATGAAATCTCTGGATTATATAGAAGCATTGACTTGACGTTAGTGTTGAAAAGTTGGATCTTGTTCCGTATACTGAGTGCAGTAAAAATTTCCACACTGATTTCACAGTAATGAAGGTCAGTCTGGCTTGGTTTTCCAGTCTCGGTTGGCCGCCTATGGTTGAGACGATGCCGCCCAAATAAGTGAAAGGAGTGACTGCCATCGATAGTGGTTAGTGCTTATTGTTGTTTGTGATTGGTCATCTTCATCACCTCCATCTTCTCTTTGTTCACTTGAAGTCCTGTCTTTAGTGCTTCTTGTTCTTCCAGCTTGTTGATTTTAACCTGTGGATCTTTGAGTTTGTGTAACATTAAGCAAAAATCATCCTCGAATCCCAGATCTATCAGAGTCTTCTTGTCGACGCAAAGCATTTCTATGTTTTCGCTCCTCAGGGTCTACCACGTTACTCAGTTCATAAATCGTCACAAAGTTTATATCTTCTAAAGTCTTTCTATCAGTCTTACGTATACTTCTTGCTCACCACAGTTATTTAAAGGGCAACATTTTTTTCATAACACTCTGTGATTTAAGTTATAGCTGACTGTCATTCACAAATGGAGGATAGAAATTAGGTTTCTTTTTTTCGTTTAAAATGATTTTAGTATGATTGTATTTTTTGTTGGACAGAAAATTGAAAATGTGTGTGCTACTAATAAGATTTACCAGTAGTATATAAAGAGATATTCATCGGAATAAAAACATCAAATAACATGGAGATAAATTTGACATCAGAGAAAGCAAATGATTCAGCATTACGGTGATACATGGTAGACATGAAAGAAACGCAAAGAAACACAACATGAAGGAAGGCGATAAGTATCGCAGCATGGAAGATCTGTGCACATGGTGCGTTGAAGATAAGGTGTACATAATTTCATCACATATATAGGCACCAAATTCTAAATAAACATCCCTTTATACGAGTTTGACCATGGGTTGATATCAGTTAGAGAACCATTGAGAAACAGAGAGTACTGGGCGTCTGTTTCATCCTAGTTTAGGAATCATCGGCGGTACGCGCCCACTGGTGATGGAACCTAGGACTTTCCGGTTACAAGGCAAGCTCGTATACCATTCAGCCACTGGGAACCGATTCAATGATCCGTCCATAAATTCTAACTTCTACCAATTCGTGACAGAGTTTCCTGGAGTTCTAGCGAGAAGTCGTGACCAGTGAAGTCCATCTAGTCAAGTGCGAGGATGGAGTTCCCACCGATGACATTGGTTGGTGGTCGCGCTAAATCACAAATTGGTGGAAGTTAGAATTCATGGAGTGGTTATTGAATTGGGTCCCAGTGGATGCCTATTGCTGATGGTTTCCAAACTTGGCTGACGAGACAGCTGTCCAATACTTCTTGTGGCTGGTTTTCAATGGTTCTCTAACTGATATCAATCCGTGGTCAAACTTGTATAAACAAATCTAATCCTTACAAACCAAACGCTTAAAAACATTCCTTTATCAAGCCTCTTGTCTTCTGCCGTTACAACAAGACTTCCAATTTCGTATATTCAAAATAATTTAATAGATATTCACAAAAAGCGCCATCGCGTATTGACAGGGCTTATTACTTTCTGTTGTTTATGATATGATTATATGATACCGTTTCATTTACCTCGTTTCTCTCAACTGTACTAAATTTACAAAGGGTTTGTATGTTTCGAATACTTTCAGACTTCTCCTTTTTCCATTGGAACACCCTCAGAAATATGTGCGAATGCATTGTTTCTCTGATGGTTTCATGTTCCAGCCTCATTGTTTGTTGTTAGTCAAACACTTAAAAGGTAAGTTAGAGGCAAATAAATAAAATTGGCATTGATCATTTTGATGTTTTTATTTCATTGATGTAGATTATTTGTCAAGTATTTCTCTATCCATTGCGTCTCCTGTCCTCGTTATCTCATATCCAAGTATTTTAGATGATTTTCAAGTCTTGGTTTCCAAGAGATTGATTAGTTACTGGTTTAACCACGAGCTAACACCACTTAGAAAACCATTGGAAAATCAGACGGTACTAGATACTTATTTCGTCTCAGTTTGGGATTCTGCCCCAGAAGTAGTCACCCACTTGAGATAAAATCCCCAGGACTTCCCGATCACAAGGCGAGCTTATAGACCATTCAACGACTTGATCCCAATCCGGTGGCTCATGAGTTCCAACTTCTGATGCTCATCGACGTCTTACTTTATGCAGGAAGTTGCCTAAGGTCTCGGTGAGTAGTCATGACCAGGTGGGTCTATCAAGCCAAAAGTTAACTCGCCAATGACATCAACTGGCAGTTGCGCTAAATATATATATCGCGAATTGGCGGGATTTGGAATTTATGAGCCATAATTGGGTCTGAATGACTGAACGGGTCTACAAACTTGCCTTGTGAACGGAACGTCATGGATTTCGTGCATATTACTCTAAGATTCCCAAGCTAGAATGAAACAACCGTCCAGTACTCTCTGCTTTACCAATAGTTCTATAAATGGTTTCAGGTTATGTAGAAATATGAATCAGTTTTATATGAATGTATGGTAGTGGTATGTGGTTGTGAGCAAATGGTATTCAGTTTACCATTTTATTAGATAACTCGCCATTCAAGGTTACTTTCCGATGAAGGTAATGTTGATATTTTTCACCTTCCACATTTCCCCCCAAATGAACACAATAAGAAATAATGTGTAACTCCATTATGGATAAGACTTTATTTTGATAAATCACACAGTGTTATACAGTAGTAGCAGTAGTAGTATTAATATTACTGTATAACACTGTATGATTTATCAAAATAAAGTCTTATCCATAATGGAGTTATACTCTACCACAGTGCCCAAGTTTTACAGTTACATTTATGTGTACATGGAGTACTGCCTTTTGACATAAAAGGTCCCAGTGCATTGAGAGAACAGAAGAGCAATGATTGATTCAAATTAAAATGAATTCATGTTGTTTCGTCTATGAAGCATGACATTCTAGTAATAACAAATTACACTATGTGTACACCTCAATTCAATCCACGTAGTCCAACAAAAGAAGTGAAGGTATTCGAACTCAGGATGATGAGTAGATAGGTGTTTCTTCTTATTTACAAATGAACTCGTTATATTCAAAACTATTCATATTTGAAACTGTAGGTAGGAATAGTAATGCTAAAGTCACTAAGTTTGGCACTGGAGTCTTAAACCACATACATTATGTATACATCTCAAACACAATTAAGTTACAAAGTGCGAATGAAAAATCGCTTAATTTGAATGACACACGAAACATAAAATGATCATTACTCTAAGAGAGGAAACCGTATTTTTAGCCAATGAACTTCAAAGGATGGTGTATGTATATCGTCATAACATTTCACTTTAGCAGTGAGTAGTAGTGCATGCCTACTGATAACTTCACAGATTGTAATGGTACAGTTCACAGGACATCCGTGTCACCCAAAAAGTGGTTAAAATCAACATCCATCGATAACTTATAATGAACATTTCAAACAATACAGTTATATACTTTTTATCACATTTGATGATCATTTGTCACATAAGTAACTGTTTGCATGATGTTTCAATTTGAAATAAGAATATGCGTGGTGAGAGCTGTCTGCTAGCCAAAATTGATAGACAACAATTTACGTCAATGTTAAGAAAACACGATAAGCTTGGAATGGCAGTCACCTCTCCACCTCACTCAACTTCATCGACTTTGAAAAGGCCTTCGACAGCGTCGATCGAGAGGTGATTTGGAAACTACTTCGCTACTACGGGTCCCACCGACAATTAAACATCTCATCCAACAGTTATACGACAATGCTGCGTGCCAAGTAATCCACAACGGGAAACTTACGGAAGCCTTCGAAGTAAGGACGGGAGTGAGACAAGGCTGTCTACTATCACCAATGATTTTCCTGATTGCAGTAGATTGGATAATGCGACAGACAACGGGTCGGGCAATGAGGAAACAGGCATAAAATGGACTCACACAAAAGACTTGGAGGATCTGGACTTTACCGATGATATATGCCTGATTTCCCACAAACTAGAAGATATGCAAGTGAAAAGCAACAAGCTGGCAGAATAGGCATCCAGAGAAGATACGACTTCATGTGAACATTGAGAAAACAGAGGTGATGAAGATTCCTGACCAACACCAACAACAACAGACAACAATCAGCCAGAATAAATGGGAGGAACCTAAAAGAAACAACCTCCTTTACCGACCTACCTGGGAAGCATCGTTTCAACTACACGCCATCGGAACTGACGAGGATATCAAAGCCAGAATCGGAAAAGCAAAACAAGCTTTCATTACTCTCAAGTCTGTGTGGAGGTCAACATCACTCACCATCAAAAATAAGATCCGGATTTTCAACTCCAATGTGAAGTCGGTGCTACTTACGATACGGATCAGAGACTTGGTGCGTCATAGAAAGCATCTCAAACAAACTACAGACCTTCATTAACAGTTGTATTCGCTCAAGATCAGATGGCCGGCCAGAAAAGATCAGCAACAGGGATCTCTGGCAATGAGCGAACCAACCAGGAGTCGATTGTGAAACAAATAAGCAGGAAGAAATGGAGATGGACTGGCCATCAAATGACATCACTAGACAAGCCATCGCTCGAATGGAACCGGGAAGGGAAACGGCGAGTTGGTTGTCAGTGCAAGGGTGACTTAGAGGAGGCCATGTGAAGAGGAGATGAAAGCATGTGGGCAGACTTGGAGCGGAGTGAAAAAGTTAGCAGAAAACCGGAGGCAACGGAGACGCGGGACTGAAGGCCTATGTTCCTCTAAGAATTAAAGGATATAATAATAATACGTCAATGTTTACGTCCCAAATCTTGGTCATGGAAAAAACAAGAACAAAGCCTAACCTTGAGGAACTCAACAACCAATCACAGCACACTTAGAGTGGGCGGATACGATTCGCAAATAAATCGTCGGACTGTCCAAGAAACGGCAACAAACAGATGACAGAATAACCTTTAGCAGGAAAACAATCAATCAGAAGACCTTACCTCTCTGGTAACAATAACGAATAATAATGTTCATGAAAATCTATAAATATCTGTTGATTTTCTGAATAAAGGATCTGTTGACTGGCCCTTGTCTTCTGTCGTTACATATTAACTACCGGAGGATAAATGGTATTTCGCATCATATGGTGGTGGGAAATGTTTTCTGCCCGCCCCCCTCCCCCCATGGAGTCCACTCTCTTTCATGTAGTCTCATCAATAAAGCATGTTTTTGACAGATAAATCAGGTTAATGGAAACAGCTAAATATTTTTACGACCTAAGACGTTATGAACACTTGAGTCAGACGATGAAAATTGAATTCTCTATGTTAACGTAAAAAGTGTTCATAGATGACTAAGTATTATTTTTTTTTAAGTTATATTTTCATTTGATATTTGGACAATAATGTGAGCATACTTCTTGTTAATAGGGGAATTGAGCAAGTCAGTAAATCGACGTACTGGGGAATTAATGGATTTAAGTAAGAACGCCATAAAATCTGCTTCTGATTTACCTGAAAGTGGAGAACATTTATTCAAGTGAGTTTTACTATTTCTACATGATTATCTGCCTATTTCACTTTGTTCGGTATTTGTGACAAGTCACCAAAGTCATCTCATTGCCTACCTTACTTGAAGGATTTTGAGCTCATTTATTGTTTGTTAGCCTCCATTGAAAACTCCACATACTTATTCCCTTTTATGAATCTGAATAAAGCAAGAACAGCGGTTTGTGTTAAAAAAACGATGGTGCCATCGTTTTACTGGTCATCGGCTTCTCAACTGGCATTATGTAACATTTACAGGTAGTTAAAATCTTTCTGTATGTAAACTTAATAATTTATTTTATTTTTTTTATTGCAGCTTGATTCTACACTATATTTTTGGTACAAGTATGGGATTTTCAGCATGGATATCGGTAGCCCAAATTTTTGCAGGCCGACCGTAGATATCAGGTGTGCCATCGGTAGGGGATCGAACCTCGGATCATGTGCATGGTCAGGGAGAGTCCTAACCACTGTGCCACCGACGCACAGGTTTTAGGCAGCTGATGGGAAGCTGACGAAATAAACAATGCTACTATCTGATTCTGCACAGTCTGTATGTCCTGTTTTATTTCAATAACGTTAAAGACTGATTTCTGGGGTCACCTACCCTGACAGAGATTCGTCTTCAGGAAACATTTTACTAGTTTCTAAGCCTCGCCTACACTGGTTTGGTGGCCAAGTTACTCCTGACACTCTCTTCCAACAATGTAGGCATATTATGCTCATGCTTGTTGAAGGTATATTCTAACCAATGGAATTAAGAACAATCTTAAAACACTAAAATCATTCCAATACATTCATTAGATTTTAAACAGTACAGACAAAAACATTCACCAATGAAATATGAAGTGTATTATAGTTGACTGGTGTCATAAATCGATTCAGCTATCTATGCTAAGTACTTACTTCCGTATATGTATGGATATCCTACTGAAGAAGTGTGAACTTGCACAATGTTGTGACACAGCAACCATTTGGATTCCTGGATAGTTAACCTAAGGAAATTCAGATAAAACTCAGAGATATCAAACAGAGCGAAACATGTAATTCTCCAAGTTATCGTCTCCATAAATCTGTTTCAAATAATGTGACCCTTTGTGATGTAGACTGAATATTTTGCAAAATGATTAGCTTTAATATTCAGCAACAGCAAAAGGAAATTTGATGAAATATAAAAAATAAGTAGAACAAAGTTCACGGAAGAGTCTCTTTACAGAGGCGAATTCATTCACTTAGCTGTACAATCGCATTTATATATAATTATTTTGTGTGTATGTACATTAGGATTGTCAAACAAAAATTAGTTAGGTTACAGTTTGTGTCATCAAAATGTTTCTAAAATGTGATGAATAGTCAAAATTGTAATTCCGGTTAGGGAGGCGGAGGGGGGGGTGAAGATTAGTAAGTATTGACAAGGGTTGCGTAATATGAAATAAGATGTTAGTGGAGACACGTGTCCGAAAAGAAGATGTTACTAAGATGCCATACAAAAATTCAAAAAACAAAAAAGGAAACAAAACATTACTAACAAAGTCGTCGAACTTGGAATTATACCCAAGGTGGAAGGAGGGGATGGAAAAGTTTCTTCTGTGTGCATAAATCAGATTTTTCAATCCGGATCTCTAAGGCCATCTCGGCAATGCAAAGTACACAGAAGGTTACCTACCGTTTTCGGGAGGCTTATTTTGATTATGGATAAGATATGATTATGAGCAATAATTTGTGCTCGAAACGTCATCAGTTAATATTACTGTACAACACTGTGTGATTTATCAAAATAAAATCTTATCCGTAATGGAGTTATACTCTACCACAGTGCTCAAGTTTTATATTATATCAATAAGGCTTATTTTGACTTTGAAGATGACTTCGAATGAATTCTCCTTGCATATTTGAGTGACCAATGTTGACTATATGTTCAATTATAATCACTCCTTATTGATCCGGTAGTACATTTTCGTAGCCAAGTGGGATAATGTTCTTTGAAACTTTTGGATAAAACACGCATTGAGCGACCTATATATCTCACTTACTCGACATGAGCAAGTAAATTGGGAGATACATATAGAAGTGGTCCAATCGATGGTTTATCTTTCGAGCTGTTGAAGAACAATGGGCGACTTGAGAATACCAATCATAATGTAGCACAGCAGGTAATGTTCATTTCAGGCGTATCTGCCAATTTACTTGCTCATGTCGAGTAAGTGAGATATATAGATCGTTCAGTGAGTGTTTTATCCAAAAGAGTCAAAAAACATTATCCCACTTGGCTACGAAAATGTACTACCGGATCAATAAGGAGTGATTATAATTGAACATATAGTCAACATTGGTCACTCAAATATGCAAGGAGAATTCATTCAAAGTCATCTTCAAAGTCAAAATAAGCCTTATTGATATAATTATAAAACTTGAGCACTGTGGTAGAGTATAACTCCATTATGGATAAGATTTTATTTTGATAAATCATACAGTGTTGTACAGTAATATTAACTGATGACGTTTCGAGCACAAATTATTGCTCATAATCATATCTTATCCATAATCAAAATAAGCCTCCCGAAAACGGTAGGTAACCTTCTGTGTACTTTGCATTGCCGAGATGGCCTTAGAGATCCGGATTGAAAAATCTGATTTATGCACACAGAAGAAACTTTTCCATCCCCTCCTTCCACCTTGGGTATAATTCCAAGTTCGACGACTTTGTTAGTAATGTTTTGTTTCCTTTTTTGTTTTTTGAATTTTTGTATGGCATCTTAGTAACATCTTCTTTTCGGACACGTGTCTCCACTAACACCTTATTTCATATTACGCATCCCTTGTCAATACTTACTAATCTTCACCCCCTCCCTCCGCCTCCCTAACCGGAATTACAATTTTGATTATTCATCACATTTTAGAATCATTTTGATGACGCAAACTGTAACCTAACTAATTTTTGTTTGACAATCCTAATGTACATACACACAAAATAATTATATATAAATGCGACTAGTACAGCTAAGTGAATGAATTCGCCTCCGTAAAGATATTCTTCGGTGAACTTTGTTCCTCTTATATTCATGCCTGGATGGATATTTTCTGTGAAATATGGAGACATGAAGCGTAAATCAAGCTGTCAAGGAATACAGAGAGAAGGCTGCACTTACTTTGTAAATGGCTGGGATACACTTCACACTGAATGGAAAAACACAATTGTTCTCTAACTCACTATACTTCAATCCTCACAAAGCATTACACATCAGTCATTGTTAATTTGAACAATCAGGCTAAATACTAAACTTGATGGAATTATCTATCATTCTGCTTAGAAATTCTGTTGTGTATATTCACGAATGTATTACATTTATTTTCAGGGATACACGTTACATGGAAGTACCTTGGGGAGAAGAAGAAGAAGCAGCAGCGGAGAATTGTACAGACGTTATCAGTTTGGTAGAACATCTTAAAAAGTTGAGTATTCTCAAGCTATAATTATACATTCTTCGCAAACTTCATGAACTTTCTTATCAAATAAAGTAGATGGATTTCTACACTTTAGACATGTTTTTTTTTGTATTTTACATGTTACATTAACTGAGAGTACATCGAGGAAGACATTCATTCACTTTATTTGATGATTTCGAAAATGAATCTTCGTTTCGTTGTTTGCTTGAGCTGTTTCGAAATGCTTCTATTTTTTTTTATTTTTGATTACAGCTTTATTCCACACCGTATTTTTGGTACAAGTATGGAATTTTCAGCGTGGATATCGGTAGCCCAAATTTCGCAGGCCGACCATAGATATCAGGTGTGCGTCGGCGAGGGCTCGAACCCCGGACCATAAGCATGGTCGTCGAGAGTCCTAACCACTGTGCCACCGACGCTCAAAAATTTGGATTTCTCTCCTGGCCGGCATTTATCAAACAGAATTATATTAAGCTGAAGACATCGTCGATGATTATGTACTAGGGATAGACATGTTAAGAGACCGAGGATTTGGATTCAGATTCAGTTGGATCATTGACTTCATTGAGTCTTATTCATCCTTGAGGCGTTCAAAAGACTCTTGGGATAATTAAGTCTTCATAATAATCAGTTTTGTAACTATCACTTTCAACCGAATCACCTTGTTTTATCGTGAACGAAAAGTTGCAGAATGTATGAGTAGTTGTACAGCCTTCACAGAAGATGAGGATCTCATGAATGGATATATTTGAGTGTTCAAACAATACCATTTTACTGACAGACACATGGTGAAAAGCAGTCAGCTGATCATTTGTTTCCCTTAGCAATGTAGGGTACATTTGGTCAGATTCAAATTGGGAGTATAAGCAGTGAGATTAATTAAAGCTGAGGTAATTTTTATAACTTCTCATAACAGGTGACTGAAATTCTGAACAGAGAGCACTGTTAGAAGCAGTTCAACTAACGTAGCACTGCACTAAGATTGTCTGTTTTTTAGTCCCAGTCTTAAATAGGATGCAAATATCAGCACTTTAACTCTTATGTAGATGACAATAGGAGTCTGTGAGTGTAAACAAAGAGAAACAACAGGACTTAGTGGTTTGTTTCCAGAGGTCTTTGAGGATCGTGATAATACATAATTGACATAACTAGCTATGATACTTCATAAAGTATAAGAATGCAAAATAGATCACCTAGTGAATATCAATTTACAGAAAGGTCAGGAAAAATTCTTAGTCAGTGAGTATTTACTATCGTTAAATACTACCACTACTACTACTACTACTACTGCGGTGCCAGCTAGATGACACACATTGAAAAAAGTGTTGTGTTCTCAGAACAGAACTGAACAAGACTAAAAAAACAAGTAACTGAAGAAACACTGATTGACTGTATACTGAGTTTATCAAAGCTACAACTGTTTAGATTATGCGTCGATGGTTCAGTTGTAGAAGAAGGCTCGCCAACTGTGGAAGTTTACCGGAATTCGGTCTCCAACCGATGCACTCCTAAGCCTCGCTAAGTATATGTAGTAAACCCAGCAAAAACAGGAGGTTGGGAGTGAAGCTAGCGACCCCGGTCTGCAAAACGAATCTCCCCCCCCCACTACTGAGACTTCAGAGCTCAAACTTGAAGCCATATTGAAAACATTTATTTCCCGATACGAATTTAAAACAAGCAATAAAGGTTAATAAAGCAGGATTTAATGAATTCGTCAAATTTCGGTAGAACTCGTCAGCTGAATACTCTACATACACGAATATATATACTTTTGAAATTACATTGGGAGATATAAGACTGATAAGTAAACAAACTACATTGAATTAATCATGCAGAGAGACAGGTGCGAATATTTTCTAGGTCATGTTCAAATAGATAAGGGGAGAGAGAGAGTATGAGAGATCAAAATTAAGATAAATTGCATTACGCTTCAATTACATCACTTAGATAAACAATTAGTCATTAGGGAATATAACGAGAATTGCAAACAGACTAATATCAATAGTAATAGTTTTAATAACAATAATAATAATAGTGTTGAAGTGAGTTAAGATAATCTTACGGATAAAGCATAGATTTAAATGAATCAAGAATAATAATAATAATGGTAGTAATAATAACAAAAATAATAATAAGAAGAGGTAGAATAATAGTAATAACAAGTAGAGAATAATAAGTAAAGCGTATTACCATGGTAGATTCAGAGTGACGACCATCTCCTTTTGTATACAGAGGGCTGGTTTGTAAATTCGAATTGCACAAGCCTCTGCAATTGCAAGCATCTTCTTGTTTCTTTGTTTGCTGACGATGGTGAATGACTTGACGGCGTCGATATCATGTCCGTAATCCACGAGATGTTTTGTTATTGAGGATTTTGGGACTTTGCACTCAGCTGTTTTCAACCATTTTGGCAAATGCTCCATCATGCGAGTAGACAATCGCCTTTCCGTACGACCTATGTATTTGCTGCCACAAACACACTCAAATTGATATATGCAGTTTGAAGTGTCGAGGATTGGCGACTGGTCTTTCCCAGATTGTTGAAGCACTCGCTTGGTGGTGTTAAGGATAACAAGTTTTGCAGCATAATAAGTTCTCTTGATGGCTTTGTCAAGTCTTCGTTTCACTATTTCCTGTACGTCATCTCCTTTGAATGGCAAATTGATATAGACAGGTTTCTTTGGAACTGTCTGAATTGTTTTGCAAGGGGTAGTTTCTTTAGAGTATTTATTAATGAACTTCTCAGGATATCCATTCTTACATAAAATATCCTTCAAAGATTTTATTTCATGTTCAAAGTACTGTCAGAACAAATTTTTGTGCTCTATTGAACAGTGTTCTGACTAAGTTCTTTTTGTATTCGATTGGAACAAAGCTCTTGAAATGCATGTACTGTCCTGTCCATGAGGACTTTCTAAATATAGATCTTTCGATTGTGCCATCATTCATTTTGGTCAGAAGAACGTCTAGAAATTTAATAGTATCGTTTTCCTCGTGTTCTACTGTGAAATTGAGATTTGGATGGCATGAGTTGAATTTTGTTAACATGTCTTCCGCTTTTGATCTGCTTTCACAGACAATAAAAATGTCATCAACATATCTTAGGTATGCATTTGTTTCTTGTATATATTGCTGCAAAGTACCGGTTTCTAGGCGTGACAAGAATAAGTCTGCGAAAAGTGGTCCCAAAGGGCTTCCCATTGCGACACCATCAACTTGACGGAACAGACGCCCGTTGAATCGGAATTGGACATTTTTAGTACATAAAAGCCATATGTTCCACATAAGACGGAAGGAGTATAAATAAAAATTAACAGACCAATTCAAAGTTATCCTACATTGATTCACCAATCAGCCAACGTGAAGACACTTGTGTGCAGTCTAAAAAAGATTTAATTACAGTTAATTTTCCGAATAAAGCAAGAAAAATAGTTTTTGCGAAACCAGAATGTACTGTCATTTATCTCGTTGGCTTTTCACCAGCTGTTGCTTACAGCCTAAAGAGATTGTTATTAAGTTCATGCACAGAAAAGTCTTAACATGCTTGCAAATTTTACATGAAATCAGTTGATAGGAGGTATCGAACTTAGTGAACAGTGCTCAGAAAATTACGCTCATGTAATTTTTACACAGGCAGTTCAAGTTTAGACAAAAACAGTTTATGCACACAATGGTAAAGGAGTCGCGTAATAAAAACGAGAAGTGCGTAAGATGATGAGTGATTACTAAATTAGGTAACACTGTACTGAATACAACTCAAATCATAGAAACAAGGGACAAGCAAAATTACACTATATCAAAGGGGGGGTGAGGTTAAAGCTGAAGATTACGTAATCAAATGAACGAGAGAATAAACACATTCACTGACCAGGATTGCAAGGAAAGAATGATAACTACTTCTTTCTGAACACATAAAGAAAGAGAGTCATAAGTTCACCTACCATGCTCTTCACAGCTCAGAATAGCTTAGTGAACTGAAAATCAATGATTATTAGGACTAAAATAACATACGTACTACCGGTAGGATGTACCTACAAGCTACTTTACGACAGAAAGGTAATAACAACTGTAAACAGTGTTACATTTCAGAAGGACCATCCATAGAATTCTTCTTATCCTAATGCACACTGATGTCAAGACAAGCTGATGCCACTTGATGCGTGAACCACTTACAGTCTCTCAATATTCCACGTAACAATGTAAGTTTCACTGGTATCATATCTTCGGCTGAACAATTTTAACTGTGAACTTCATCAAATGGACATAATCACAGTAAAATACAGTCGCTTGCCTCATTTATAGCATGATTTCTTCGATGTGTTATGAACGATCTCATTCATTCCGGATGACAATAAAAAAGCTAACACACCTCATAAACTCCTCAGAACAGATAATCTAACTTATGTCTATGGGTTTATTCTCCACCAGAAGCCTGAATCCCATAGAATAACTGCCACACCATTGACCGTTGTCTGTAGTCAGTTTGCAAACTGAAAATCAAAAATAATTCACAAATATCAGACTCCTAAAACTGCCAAATAAAAATGTAAGTCATTTTCAATGCATAACTTCGCTTTCTGCATTCCGTTCTTCGTAATAATTCATACAGCATGTCAAAACGTTTTTCCGCAATAATACGAACATAATACAACAGAATATCGCCTTTCTCAACTACAGAAGGGTGAAACTAATTAAATATTTCCTATTTTTGCAAAAATAGACGTTAGTAACACCTTTGTAGACATGATCACGATAACCCATACTAAGCGCGAAAACATAGCGATAGCCTTTATCCTCACCCAAAACGATTGACAGAGGTTACGTATATATGATTTAACCGACCTTGAAAGTTACTGACTACATTGTAAGTGATTGACAAATTAAAACAATCAGCAACCAATAGGGTTCCAAGGTCACACGTGTGGGGAAGGAAATCAGAACGGTAATTTAAGATACATGTAGTAATTTAGAAAAATTAGGTGTATATAACACGCTGACAACCTACTCGTCGATTCCAATTGGGATTT